GGAGCCCGATGCGGGACTCGATCCCGGGACTCCGGGATCATGACCTGAGCCGAAGGCAGTCGCTTAACCGACTGAGCCACCCAGGCGCCCAAGATTTTCTATTAGTTTAAGGAAGTTTATAATCTATTTCAGATTTCCATCCAAAATGCTTGAAAGAGAATAATGTTTTGGCATTTGTAATATTTCAACTATGTGGAAAATTCTATTTGTATATTACATATGGATGTGGATACTCTCCTATACCCAAATATGAATTCTAAACTTCAGAGGATAAACCAACTGAATGAATGAAATGCAGGTTCCAGAAAATTTTGGTTGTAGGTAGGTGGCAGAACAATAGAAATAGTCCCTTAAAATTACGCTAGTTTTTTTTTAAGATTTAAAGAAAATTTTATTTTATTGTGAGTGAGCACAGAAGCAGAAGGAAAGAGAGAAGCAGACTCCCGACTGAGCAGGGACCCTGATGCAGGACTCAATCCCAGGACCCCAAGATCATGACCTGAGCTGAAGGCAGATGCTTAACCAACTGAGCCACCCAGGCACGCCCCAAATACCCTAGTTTTTAATCAGTGATTTTACCTTATTTTGTATAGTAACCTGTATGGTGAAAGACAGGAAATAATGCCAATATGTGGAGTGTGATCTTTTTTGAAGGAAAGAAAGAATGTGAAAATTTAGAAGCATTAAAATGAACAATGCATTTACAACTGAGGTGGTTCATGAATCTCAAAGAGCTACTCAGAAAATTCAAATGAAATTTGTCATTTATATTAAAAGTTATATTGTATTTATTTGCCAAGTCTCGTGTTGAGACGGAGACAACTGCTGAGCAGAAACAGACCACCACCCTCCCTGGCAACTGTGCTCCTTGCTGGCAGTCAGGTGGCCAGTGGGGTGGGGGTGACGTGGTGGGGGGACCTCCTATCTGTACCCTGGTGGGTGGCAGTAACCACTCTCTTAGCAATAGCCTAGGTTAAAAAAAGTCCTATGACAATGGGAAAAAAGTGTTCTGAGTTCCAGCAAAAGGACCTGAAGACTTGGTCAAACCCAGGTGTAAGCTGGGGACCTTCCACAGGGCAGGCTTTAGGACCCACTCTTCGCCCGCCCCTCAGGGACAGTGGGGACACTGAGATCTGTACCTGTTTCTCAGCTTGTTTCAGGAGCTTCTGGAACCTCTCATCTTCCAGCACACCCAGCGGAAGGTCAGTCTCTCCCTGAGCTTTCAGCTCCTCCAGCTTTTGCCTCAAGCCCCTGAGGGCCTGCAGCTCATCATTGAGACGGCTCTGCCGGGTTAGAGATGCCTGAAGGTCCAGTTCTAGGTCTAGAGATGTGCGCACTGGGCGTTCTTGTGCTGTTCGTCTCAGGACTGGCTGGCAAACCGTCTGCAGGGTTAGAAAACAACACAACAAAACACTCTTATTATGTGGGTACTCATTATTCTGCTCTTTGTCCTTCCTGGCACATGACAGGCAGCATTTCCTGGCTCCTTTGAAGTGAGGCGCCACCGGCCAGGTGACCTGCTTTGGCCGATGAAAGGTGAGTGGCAGTCATGTGTATGCACCACCTCCGGGCAGAAGCCTTTCCAAGCCAGTGTGAGATGTGAGGAGTTCTGTCCCCTGCCAGAGGGACAGCAAAGATTCAGAGGCGGAGGCCCCGTCAGTGTGGGTCCTGAGCGAAGACAAAATGAGCAGAGCATCTAGCCAACCTGCAACGAACATGTAGCTGAGTGAGAAATAAACCTTTATTATTTTAAACCACAGAGATTTTTTAACTTGTTACCCTAGTATAGCCTCTCCTGGCCTGGCCAATTTACTACACAGAGCTTCTGCCCTCTGTGAAACAGACATAAAAGAAACTGACCCTTCGTCCATTTCAAGACCAGTGACCGCACCCCCAGAGCGCACTCCTTTAGCCATCATTTCTGTAGGTGCCGGCCAGAATGTAGCTGGTCATTCTGATTCTGAGCCCCTACTCTCATCAATATGCTTAAATCCCAGTTCCTTCCTCCATTTCGCATGGCCTAATGTCCACTTTCACCCGTGAATCACTGGGGCTCTTCCCAGGGCCAATCTTATCTGTTTAGCAAGAAATAATTATAGCGTATGTGTGACTAAATGTCTGCTGGGGTGGGGGCGGGGGGTGGTGGGCCAAACCCCAGGAAGAGAAGCCCCACTTGTTAACCTTGAAGACTTCCAGCAGTGAGCTGTGCCACAGGAAGTCAGGGAAGGGAGAGATTGCTCAGGGCCAGTCACGCTTGCTTGAGGAAAGGAAGTCCAATGAGGCTGGGTAAGATTGCAGCAGTGGAGGGGAACAAGGAGGGTATTTTTTGCCCAGACTGCTGGCAGTGGGAATGGAAAATAAGAGGTTATTAATAAAAACTGGTACTATTTGATGCGGGGGGAGGGACTCAAATTTGAGAAGTACTCGGGCTTGAAGATCTGGAATGACGGTGGTGCTCATGACAGATGGGGGTGGGGGCCTGCGTCCCCCTTCCTGTTCCAGAGCCCTCGGCCAGGGATGAAGAGCTTGTACCACTCCTCTTCCTCGCCCAACACATACTGCTGTAACGCTCTCTAACATTCTTATTAGGTTCCCTCTACTCAACCTCTGCTCTAACAAACCTATTATACAGCAGAATCACTGAGACACACACTCTTCAGCTGTATTGTTTCTCAGAATCAGAACTCCTTCCTCGTGGTTATGTAGATGGAGCCCTTCTAAGGACTGCCATGTGCAGCAGTGTGCTGGCCGACGTTTTAACAAGCGGCGCTGGGTGGGGGCATGGGCGGAGAGCGGAGCATGGGTTGTTGGGTTCGCCAATTTCTATGGTGTAAGTACGCCCGCCGTAACTGCTTCTGTGCTGTGAGCGGGCTGTCACTACATTGGGGAGACCGCACTGGTATCCCTCCTCCCCACCTCCAACCCCGCTACCATCTTCTTTTGAAATTTTATCCAGGTGTCAAGGCCATGGACCTCCGGCACACAGTCTTTTAGACTCTCCCAACCAGATGAGCAGCTTTTTATTTTTATTTTTTTTAAGAATTTACTTATCCATTTTAGAGATGAGAGAGAGAGAGAGCACACTGTGCACAAGCAGGGAGGAGGAGCAGAGGGAGAGGGACAAGCAAACTCCTCCCTTAGAGCTGAGCCCGATACTGGCTGGATCCCACAACCCGGAGATCATAAGCTCAGCCGAAATCAAGAGTCGGAGGCTCAGCCGCCTGAGCCACCCAGGCGCCCAAGTTCCTTCCTTTCTTTCACCCACCGCACATTCAACAGTCCTGTGCGCTCCTTGAATGCCTCCTTTAGACTGGAGCCTCCTGCAGGCGGTGCTTCCCTCACCCACAGAGCTTAGCACACGCAGGGCTTCATGCTTCTTTAAACAACACATCTCAGCGGAAGTATAATAGCTTAGTCCATTATTACTACACAAATCATTAGTAAGCCAATAACTTTCATTAGCATTTCAGCTGTGAGTGAGCAGGAACTGCTGAACTACTTGAACAGTCCAACCTTTTAATTTATTTAAATATTCTCTCAGACTTATCCTTTAAGGCTCATTCAGAGACCTATGGCTTCCAGGAAAACTGGCGCTTTCCCAAAAATGTCTGTTTTTGAAGCAAGTTGCTAATACTGTGTATTCCTTTAGCAGAATATCCGCCCCTCCGAAAAGGTCCTGGGTGTTACACTCTTACTCGAGAGCCAGAGACGGTGTGAGGACACAGCACCATCAACCCACTCAGCAAGCCCCTTTTCCATCGATACTGCAAAGTGGATTTCCTGGCTTCATTATCACAGGATCCAAACCAGCACTGAACGGCTGCTCTCAAGAACACCCTCCCTCCGTCTCCATAACTAACACATCTGTGTCTCTCTGGAATCACAGTGGCTTCATTCAGCGGCCCAAGAGCATGGAGCCATGACGCTCAGCAGTTCACAATTTGTGATTCTGGATTGGACTGAGACAGGGAGATGTTGCTGGGGGGAAATACATACCCTTTTGACCCTCAAACTGCGCCGTTCAGTGGAGTTTCTCACAAACAGTGATTTTTTAGCCAAGGTTGAACTGTCACTGTCACTTCGATTCAACTGGCAACAAAGGATAAAAAAAAAAGAAAATCACTGCATAACAGAGCGCTAGTGGTTTACAACTGAAAAGTTTATCAGGTAAAAGCAGGTGGTGAGGAGGTTGTTTCTTTAAGAAAATCCTTCCCAAACAAGTTTTTCTGTTCTATGCTTTTCTTAAACAACTAAGTTTTCTTATGTAATTTCAACAATTGCCTTTTGGTGGTAGTTATCAGAACTCCTACATTAAGATAATTATACATACTTGGAAATAAAATGATCCTTTGTATTTTTAGCTAATTTGCAATATTCATTTTTAAAAAGGAAGGTCTGTATAACCTAGAGGGTTATAACCAGATCAGAGCTGAGTCACAGTTTAGAACAACCTAGAATGCCCTTGGCTCAGACAGCCCGTCCTCACCCCTTCACCTGCTTCAGGTCTTGGCTGAAACAGCACCTTCTCAATGATGCTTACTTTGAACCCTACTTAAACCTGAGACCCTTTGCTTTCACCATGCCCAATCCCCCTTAACTTGCTCTACGGTTTTCCAGAGGCTCGGTCCCCACCCAAGACACTTCATAATTTGTTCATCACGTTCACTGTTTGGCTCAGCTCACAAGGATGTGAACTCTGCAAGGGCCGGGCTCTGGGGCTCTTCTGTTCACAGAGGAATTCCAACCAAGTGTTTAGAAACATGCTTAGCAGCAGGTGCTTCATAAAAGTATTTGTTGAACTGAATGAATAAGTTTAGAATTTTGAAAGTATTTTCTAAACCATTTTATAATTATTAATCTATATTACTGTAAGTCATAAATACTTCCGGAAATAGAACTTGGCAAACTGATGCAAATCCCACCATATTCTCTACAGAACTGTGAATCTGATTCCGTGTCTACAGGCATTATTAAAAGATGATTTTTGTTCTAAAACCCAAGTCGCAATTTTGGTTCTGCGGGATTAACGTGGTTTGAAGCATATAGGATGTACTGCAGAAATACAAAAAATTTTAAGTTTCTAAATACAGACCCAAGTACAAATATACTCAGCAGCCAGGTCCTTAATTTCACATGTTTGCCAAATAAATGGCTTGGAGTTCATGAGACATTAAATTTAGGGAAAGGAAAAAAAAAAAACCACCCCAACTGAGAAGGCCCAGAGGAGTGTGCTATTTCATGTATATTTCATAGCGGTTCTAGCCCTGTGTGTCTGCAGTCGGAGTCTGAAGACTGCCAGTGCACAGTCTCTCGTCCTCGGGGGGCCACTCGCCAGCGGGAGGGCAGGGCCCCGGCCCCCTTACCCGGCAGATGTACTGGTTACGCTCCCCCGGGGAGAAGGTCTGCGAGCGCACGATCACGCTGCTCCGCACGAAGGGCCGCTGCCGAGCGCTCAGGCAGCTGCGCTCTTTGGGGCGAACCGCCACCCCGGCATCACCTGCCTCCTCCGTGTTTGTCTCTTTATCGACCTGGAACGGAAGTCAGAAATTTGTCAGAAGCGGACGGGCCTGGATACCTGTCTGCGCCTTTCTTCTAAGTACAAAAGAAATATCTAATCTCACAACAGAGCCTCACCCAGCACTGGGGCCACTGGGGAGAGAAAGGCTTGGTGTTACTCCGGATGGGAACCAGGGGAGAGGGTTCTCCACTGAGTTAGGAAGTGACCCGCCATGGGGAGGACAGGATCGCCCATAAATGGAGGTGTCGTCTCTAACATATCAGACCCACATGAGGAAGGCTAAGATTTACAGAGATTAAGTGTGGTTCTGTAGAAAATCTTATCTAGGAATACTTCATCATTAAACGCTGCTCAACATTCCAATTAGGTTTTTCTTTTTTTCAGAATAATGATAGAAGCAATTACATACAAGAAAATGAAAATGTACTACAGAGTTATAGTTTCATATAGAATATGCAATTATATGTATTTGAAAATAGCAACGCTCTGAAGCTGAGTTTGGATTTTTAGCTTCTCTTTGGAAATGTAATGAAAAATAAAAGTAAAAACAGAAGTTTCTCAAAATACAAACTCTCCAGGCACATGCAGATGGTTATTGTTGATCTTATGTGTATAAAAGGATTCCAACCTGCCTTGCGCTGGTTTATTGAAGAAAAGTCTTTGGTCAGGGTACAATACTATTTCCCCCAGGAATAAAGAACTGGAATTTCGGGGCGCCTGGGTGGCTCAGTTGGTTAAGCGACTGCCTTCGGCTCAGGTCATGATCCTGGAGTCCTGGGATCGAGTCCCGCATCGGGCTCCCTGCTCAGTGGGGAGTCTGCTTCTCCCTCTGACCCTCCCCCCTCTCATGCTCTGTCTCTCTATCTCATTCTCTCTCTCAAATAAATAAATACAATCTTTAAAAAAAAAAAAAAAAAGAACTGGAATTTCCTAGCCTCCATTACCATCCCAATGACTCCACCCACACGTCTCTCCCTCAACTAGCATAACTTGGCTGGCACCCACAGGGAACCCTGAGCCACCTGCCACGTTCCAGAGCAGATTCCAACCAGAACCCCACCCTAACCAAGAGGAACTTTAAATGTTTACTTCAGGTTTGAGATGGAAATAAACTTACATTTACAAAACTTAAATCAAGTAGTTATCCTGGAATTCGGTAGTCATTCTGCAAATGCTTTTAATACATATTCAGAAGACATTTATGGAGATCTAAATAGCACTATTCATCTTCCTACATAAAATGTAAGCGAAGAATGAATATTTGGGGCCCATTTAAAAATTTTACAGCGTTTCCACTGCCTCTTACAGCCCATTTCCACAAACGCCTCTCAGGACGAGCTTTGCACGAAACCCTAACACGGGATCACAGCCGGGACAGACTCGGCCTGCGCGGTGCCGACGGACAGGGGCGTCGGGGCGCGCGGCCGCGGGTCCTCACCAGGGTGCACGGCCCGGCAGGTGGCTGGCGCCCGCGGTCCTCAACACAGCCACGCTCTCTCCTGCCCGCGTCCTCCTGCGCCTCGGGCGCGCTCGGGCACGAGCACAAGTCTCCTGGACAGCTACTGCCCTCTGGCAACTTCACGGGGGCCTCTTCTTCAGACGCAATTTCATCAGAGGCCTCTCGCAGCATGGTCAACCTGCGGTGCGACAAGACAGAGGGAAGCAGGCCCCAGGTAGGTGAGGCACGTGTCCCCAGGCGGCGCAGCGAACGCGGCTCACGCACCGTGACTCGACCGCGGCTGCGGCGCGAACTGCAGCTCACATGCGCGTCAAAGACACAACCGCCCTCTGACTCGAGCGACACGCAGCGACATCACCATACTTAGGCACTAGAAAGTTAAATGAATGAAATTTGACCTAATTCCTAGATATTAAAATAGAAAAAGTCTGAAAATCACATATAAAGGGGCGCCTGGGTGGCTCAGTCGTGTCATTAAGCGTCTGCCTTCGGCTCAGGTCATGATCCCGGGGTCCTGGGATCGAGCCCCGCATCGGGCTCCCTGCTCGGCGGGAAGCCTGCTTCTCCCTCTCCCACTCCTGCTGCTTGTGTTCCCTCTCTCGCTGTGTCTCTCTCTGTCAAATAAATAAATAAAATCTTAAAAAAAAAATCACATATAAAATTCAACCCCACCATTTAAAAAACTGACACTCACTATAATGTTTATTTATTGTAAAATTAATCATACAACAGGATGACTTTATTCTAAAAGCGAATAAAGACATAAGCACCGAAAATCTCCATTATCCAGGTGCCTGGCTGGCTCAGTCAGAAGAGCACGCGACTTTTGATCTTGGGGTTTTAAGTTCAAGCCCCACGTTGGGTGTAGAGAGTACTTAAAAGTAAAATCTTAAAAAAAAATATGTCCATGGTCAGCTGTGCTTACAGGCTAGCAGGGGTAAAACCCTGGGAAAAGGGAGTTTTACTACTGACAGCACAAGAATCCTAATGCCATATGATCTCGTCTTTAACAAAAGCCATGGCATGGGCTGGGGTGGCATGATAAGCAGGGTTCCAGAATGTACATATGACATATAGTCTGTATAACCCGCATGGGCAGGAACGTAATAGTACCAGCATGGCTTAGAATACCTCATGCTTTGTTGAGTTCCATGTCCTTAGAACGGAAACTCTTCTTCCACTGATAACTCAAAGTTGAGCTATAATTGTGATTGGTGACTTTCTGACAAATTGGCACACGCCAGTAATTAAACGCCTAGTCATGCAGTGGGCACGGGGGAGCTAGCAATGAATTCTGCGAGCTATAAATTCCTTTATGCTACATACCAAGTGTATTTTCTGAAACGTATATGAAACTAATTGTATTTTACATACACAAAGAAGGCTTGGTATTTAAAAATACCATGATGAACCTTATAATCACTCTTGTATTTATTATTTTTGCAGTACTCTGATTCATAACCGTTGCAAAGGGCTTCTGATAAGAACAAAGTACATCTGTGCCTTTGTTCATCACTGTAGTAAGCTGTTCCTTCCGAATGTCTAAGAGTTTGTTATTTACGACATATCTTGTCACTGTTAGCTTGTAACAAGTTTTACACACACACACACGCTATACATATGTGTTAACAGTAGTTCAAGCGTATCAGTATAAGCAACTACATATACATTAAAATCAATCCAAATAATTTTACATATATACTTTAAAAACTGACGCATTCACTAAAATTTGTTTGTAGAGAAAACTGCAAACCAGGAAATAACAGTTCTTTTTTGTATGTGAATCTAGACAAAAGCTATAGTAACCTCTTTTTTTTTTTTTTTTTTTTATCGGTGGGGGTGTGGAGAATGAGGAGGGAGCAGGAAAAGAAGATGGAAGTGGTAACAAATAGAGAGTGACGACTCAGAAGCTGTTTTCTAGAATGTGTGCTCTGACTTGCCTGAACCTAAATGGTACAATGATACTTCTGGTAGTTTAAAGAAAAAGAAAGTAAGTTTTAAATTTATGTATGAATGGACAATACACCACCACACCTTTCAAAACAGGTATTTTTAGACTTAAAATTTCAAACAGCTCCGGAAAGAGTGTCAGAACTGAAGGAAGCAGGAACAAAGAGCCTCCTTCCTGTGTTCATGCTGATGCTGCCCGCCATTTCCCTGTTGCCTTCTTCGACTCTCTGATGACCGAAGAAGGTCTTTCCTTTAGTGGCGGCTCCCTGGCATGGCACTGTTCTGCAAAATTCCAGGGTAATAAGATCTGAACCTATGAAGGTTCCCCTGAAAGTTTCTTGTAAGAAACTAAACACATCCTCTTTGAGTTCCCAGAGAGCAAAAGGAAACAACTGTTTTTACCAATCTCCATCTGGACCTCTTTGCTCTTCTTCCTGCCCGGGTTCTTCTTCTTCCTCTTCTTCTTCTTCTTGCTGTGCTAATTCCTGTTCCACAGCCAACAGCTCGGCTGATGTTCTTGCAAGTAAGGCTGACACTGCATCCTGGAGAATAGAAAGCATATAAGGCACTGAACATCATCTATTGTGAGACATGATTTAAAAACTCATCAGATGCGGACGTAAGCTTCCAGTTGTGAAAAAGAAGGTGGTACGGGACCCAATCCTTCTGCTGAGAACAAATATGAAAGCTGAATAAAATAAGACAAAGAGCAACAAACAAACCAAACTCCAGCTGTTTTAAAGCAAGGAAAGAGCAACACCGGCAATCAGGACTAGAGGCCAAGATCCCAGGGAGAAGAAAGTACAAGGAGGTGAAGCGACATCACTGTCACTCTTTTCCCTTGGGGACGGTGTCAGATCTAATGGCGGGGCGCACAGGCTAAAACTACAGCTGTGCAGGACACTGGCAAGATCAGTAGGATGCCGAGATGAAAACCAAGCTGAACCACCACAGCAGGCAGCACGCGAGGGGCCAGAGAAAGGACCTGTAGTGAGTCCGGTATTCTGTACAATATTCTTGGTGTGCTATTTGCTTGTTCCTAAGTGGCATATGTGAAAGCAAGAGGTGAGAAACTGAACAAAACCCAGCTGTGAGGAGGCTAAAACAGGAAGCAGATGCTTCAGTTTCTTTACGGTCCTAGGTCTTTTTTTTTCCTAGGGAGCATTCAATTGGAACTCAGGTCCTCCAAGTGATCCAGGTGATCTGTAACCTGCCTTCTGGAAGAATATTAAATCCTCTCTGGAGGAAGGTATCAGCCAGAGCCTCTATCATTCTTCATACATATTATCCAGAATCCATTGGAAACAGGACCCAATGACTGACTGAAGGGCAAGAACAGCAACAAATAAGATGAAAGAGGCAGATCTACAGGTGATCCATATACTGCAGTTATTCAGAGAAGGAATTTAAGATTTTACAATTAATATGTTCAAGAAAACTGATGAAATGATGGAGAATTTCACTCGTGTATACAGAAAAAATGCCACATTAGCACATCAGAGTGAAACTGCTGAAAATCAGAGAAAAAGAGAAAAATCTTATAAACAGTGAAAAAAAGATGCATTACTTTTGAAGGATCAACTGTTTTCCAGCAGCTCAACAGAATCAGTGGAAACCAGATGACAACAAAATGGTATCTTCAGTGTGTTCAGAGAATTAACTGCCCACCGAGAACTCTGAATATACAGGAAAAAAGTCCTTCACAAGTGGAAATAAAGACACTGACAGATCTGCACTAGAAGAAATACCAGAGGGAGTTCTTCAAGCAGAAGGAAAATGACCCAAATGGAAGCACACTAATGCAGAAAGAAATGAAATACACCAGGAGGGGTAAAGATGTGGGGAAATCTAAATGAATATTGACTGTCAATAAAACAATAATACCTTGTGGGATTTAAAATACACGTACCTAAAATACATGACCAATAATTTCACAGAAGGAGGAAAGGGAATAAATGGAGTTAAAGTCTTTTAAAATTCTTAGACTGCCTGGAAAAAGTAAAAGCATTAATTTAAGGTAGGTTCTAATAGCGCAAGGATGCATGCTGTAATCACCAGGGACACAGCAAAAAATAAAAGACTGTGTTACTCATGATCTAATAGGAGGGAAAATGAAATTTAAAAAAGTACTTGACTAATCCAAAAGAAGGAAGACAAGGAACAAAGACAGTACTGCAAGAAAACAAACAGTAAGACCATAGGGTCAAACCCAAATATATTACTAATTAGCATTAAATGTAAATGAACTAAATATTTCCATTAAAAGGTAAAGATTTTAAGACTGGATAATAAACCAAAACCAACTATATACTGCTTACAAGTGAAACACTTTAAATCTAAGAATTCAGAAGTGCTGGAAGTAAAAGGATGGAAAAAGATAAAACCATGAAAACACTAACCAAAAAAAGGGCTGAGATAGCTTTATGAATATCAGACAAACAGAGTTTAAAACAAGGGGTATTAGAACAGATAAAGAGGGATATTTTATAACAATAAAAGGGCCAGTTGAACAGAAAGATACAACACAATGCTAAATTTATATTTACCTAAAAATATAGACACAAAATTCAGAAAGCAAAAACTAACAAACTAAAAGGAGAAACAGATGTCTATAATCCTAAGTTGGAGGATTTTAATATACCTCTCAACAACTGATAAAGTAAGTGAGCTGAAAAATGAGTAAATGTGGAAGATTTGAAGGGCAAAATCAATAAACTTGACCTGCAGAATGCATTCTTTTCAACAACACACAGAACTTTTACCAAAACTGACCGCGTGCTAAGCCATAAAGCAAGTCTCAATATTCTGTATGATTAAATAGTATGTACTCTGTTCTCTGAAAACGGTGAAATACAGCTAGAAATCAATAATAAAAAGATAACTAGAAAACCTCATTGTTTGAGAATTAAGTAAATACACTTCTAAAAAGACCTCACAGATCAAAAAAGAAATGACAATAGAAATTATAAACTATTTTAAATTCAATGATATTTTAATAATCTCATATTATCAAACTTGTGAAAAACAGCCAAAGCTGTGCTCAAAAAGAATTTTTTAGCCCTAAATGCATATATTGGAAAATAATGTTGTTAAATAATGATCTATCTCAAGAAGTAAAAAAAGTACAGCAAATTAAACCTAAAGAAAGTAGAAGCAAGGAAATAATAAAGAAAAGAGCAGAATTAACAAAATAGGAAACACATATAAATAGAAAAAAAAAAAATCAACGAGGCCACAAGTTGTTTCTTTGAATAAAATAAAAAATTTGACAAGTCCCTAGCAAAAGTGAGAAAAAACAGAAATGGTAAAAGTTACCCATGTGAGAAACAGAACAGAGAACATAGCAAAGTCCTTGCATATATGAAAATAAGAAGGTATCATGAATAGCTTTGCCAAAATGTTGGTAATATAGATAAAATAGAAAAATCCTATAGAAAATACTACTTTTACTAAAATGAATACAAGTACAGAAAGCTGGAATAGTCCTATACTTAATAAAGAAATTGAACCTGTCATTAAAAAACAATCCACCAGCCCTTTTCAATTGGGATTCCATGAGAATTAAGCCTAATGCCCTCTAGCATCCATTATATTAAAACAAAACAAAATGTAACATCTAGAATGGTATAAGTTATGTGTCATCCTTGGGAGAAGTAAGAAAGTAGTCACTGAAAACATTTTTTATAGTGCTTACTACTTTTGCAGAACCTTAGTTGAGAAAGGCTGCTTCTCACAAGGAAAATTACAGGCTGGGCTGGTGAATTTTCTTGGGAATTCTTCCAAATATTTAAGGAAGATATGACACCCATCTTACAAAACCTTCTGCAGAGAGTAAAAAAAGAATGCTTTCTAACTTATATTATGAAGCCCGTAAAACCTTGATATCAAAAAATGACATCACAAAAAAAGAAAACTAAAGACTAATCTCTCTCATGAACATAAAGGAGCAAACACAAAATCAAGAAATCAAATCCAGCAACGCATATAAAAACACATGTAAAATATACCACAATGAAGTCTGTCCTATTCTAGGAATCCAAGGGTGGCTTAACATTAAAGTCAATCAATGTATAATCCACCACATTAAGAAAATAAAAGAGAAAAATCGTGTAATCAATTTAAGAGAAAGTAAACAGTAAAAACGTTTGATAAAATTCAATGTCCATGCATAATAAAAAGTCTTAGCAACCTAGAAAGAGCGAGAAATTCCTTTAATCTGATAGCAATTATCTATAAATAGCCTTAAAAATCAGTCTAAATGACGAATTATTTAAAGCCCTCACTTTGAAAAAAGTATAGTATTTTCTGCAGAGGTAGACAACTAAGCCCGTAGAATGGAACAGAATATCCATGATCAGACTCCCAAGCACCTTAGGAGAAAGATGACATTGTGATGCAGTTGGGAAAGAAAATTTTTTCAACAAATGGTGCTGGGTTAATCAGCTATCACATGGATAAAAAGGAATCCTGACCCCTACCTCACACCTTATACAAAAAAAAATTTCAGATGAACTTAGATCTAAATGTGAAAGGTAAGGCAATAAAGCTTTTAAGACAATACAGTAAACCACCTTCATGATCCTGTAGTAGGCAAACAGTTCTTAAATCGCAAAGGAAAGCACTAAGCATACAGGGAAAAATTGATAAATAAGACTATGTTAAACCTGAGTACTTCCATTCACCAAAAGGCAACATTAAGAAAATGAATAGGCAAGCCACAGAATAGGAAAAGCTTTTTGCAAAAAACATATTGGACAAAACACTCAAATCTAAAATTAAAAACTGCTACCAACCTATTAAAAAAAAAAAAGAGAGCATCTGATAGATAAACGGGCAAAATCTTGAACAGACACTTCACAAAAGATGACATCCATCTGGCCATTGAACATAATCAGGGAAATGCAAAAAACAGGAGAGTACTATATATCTATCACAATGGCTAAAATAAAGAAGATAAATAAAGACATGTACGAGATGTTAATAGCAGCACTACTCATAATAGCCCTCAAGTTAGAACCTCAAATGTCCATCAACAGCAGAATGGATAAAGAAAGTGTGACATAATTATACAGTGATCTATCACACAACACTGAGCATGGATGAACTACAATGACACAAAACACAGATGACTTGCACAAACGTAATGCTGAAAATGAGATGCCAGACATAAAGGAACATATACTGAATGATTCCGTTATATAAAGTTCAAAGACAGAAGTCAGAATAGAGATTACCTTTAGGGGACAGTGGTAATGACTAGATGGGACACAAGGAAGGATTCTGGGGTGCTGGTAAGGCACTATACCCTGATCTGGGTGGTAGCTACACAGGCGTGTTGACTTTGTGAAAATTCATTGGAAAACACACACTGCCTCTGTACACTTCATTATAAATCTCTCCATCACTCCTCTCCACAAAAGAAACAAGTTAAAGTGAGATTAGAATAAGATAAGAAGTGTAATAAAAATGTATATATATGTGAAACAACACTGTGAACCTAAGAAACACCTGTAGAATACTCACCCAATAAGAGCAGAGCACACATTCTTCTCAAGGGCACATGGAACATTCTCCGGGAACGGTAGCATATGCTAGGCCGTAAAACAAGCTTCAGTAAACTTAGAAGAACTGAAATCATACAAAGTATGTGCTCTGACCGCACTGTAATGAAATCAGAAATCAATAACGCAAGGAAATCATAGGAAGTAACAAAGATGTGGAAATTAACACATTCCTAAATAACCAATGAGTCAAAGAAGTCACAAGGAAAATCAGAAAATACTTAGAGATGAATAAAATTTATAGCTAGGAGTGCCTGTGTCAAAGCAGAAGATCTCAAATCTATAACCTAACCTTCTACCTTAAGAAAATGGAGAAAGAGTAAACCTAAAGTAATCAGAAAGAAGGAAATAATAAAGACTACTCTCTCTCTCTCAAAAAAAAAAAAAAAAAAAATCTCAGGGTTGTCAGATCGAGTCCTGCGTCGGGCTCCATCCTGGGCCTGGAGACTGCTTAAGATTCTCTCTTTCCCTCTCCTCCCTGCCCCTCTCTAATAATAATAACAATAACAATAATAATAATAATAATGACAGAGTAGAAATTCATGAAATAGCAAACAGAGAAATATCAGAGAAGATCAATGAAACCAAAAAGTGATTCTTTGAAAAGATTCAAAAAAGTAAAATCCTTTAGCCAAACTGACCAAGAAAAAGAGAGAAAAAGCTCAAATTACTGAAATCAGGGGGCCAAAGAGGGAATATCACTATCAACTCTACAGACATAAAATGAATTATAAGGGTTACCACAAACAACTGTTTGCCCAGACGTCAGACAACCTAGATAAGATGCACACATTCCAGAAAGACACAAACTACTCAAAGTGACATTATAACAAAATTCTGAGTAGACTTATAACAAGTAAGAGACTGAATTAGTAAACAAAAACCTTTCCACAAAGTCCAAACCCAGAGGGCTTCACTGCTGAATTCTACCAAACATTTAAAGAAGAATTCATACCAATTCTTCCAAAAGACAGATGATGAGGGAATACTTCCTAACTCATTCCCTGAGGCCAAAATTATCTGCTGTCGAAACTAGACAAAGACATCAGGAGAAAACTACGAATACAGACCAAAAAAAGTTCTCAACAAAATACTAGAAAACTGAATCTAATTTATCCTAGGAATGCGAGGTTGGTTTGACATCTGAAAATCAATAAACCGTATGAACAGAATAAAGGATAAAACCACATGTCATCTCAACAGATGCAGGAAAGCATTGGTTGAATCCACAGCCTTTATGATAAAACACTCAACAAACTAGGAAAAGGATTCCCCTCAACTTGATGAAGGGCAACTACAACAAACCATTAGCAGAAATCATACGTAATGGTGAAAAACCGAAAATTTCCCCCTAAGATCACATCCATGACAAGGACGTCTGCTCTCTCACCACTTCTTGCGATATCATAATGGAAGTTCTAGCCAGGGTGAAGCGTCAAGAAAAAGAAAGAAAAAGCAACTGGAAAGAAGAAAGAAGTAAAACCAACTCTTTGCAGAAGATATGATGTTACATATAGGAAATCCTAGGGAATCCACGAAAAAAACTATTCAACTTAAACCTGTTCAGTAAGGTTGCTGGATACAAGACAAGTAGTCAAAAATCAATTGTGCAAGAAATAGTCTGAAAATGAAATTAAGAAAATAGTTATTTACAATAGCATCAAAAAGAATAAAATTAACAAAAGAAGTGTGATTTTGGGCTCTGAAGACGGCAAAACATTTTTTGAAAGAAGTTAATGAAGACCCAAATAAATGGGAAGATATACCATATTCATAATCAGAAGACTTAAAACTGTTAAGATGACAATACCCTCCAAATTGATCTACAGACTCAATGCCATCTATATAAAAATCCTAGCTGCCTTGGGGCGCCTGGGTGGCTCAGTCGTTAAGCGTCTGCCTTCGGCTCGGGTCATGATCCCAGGGTCCTGGGATCGAGCCCCGCATCGGGCTCCCTGCTCAGCGGGAGGCCTGCTTCTCCCTCTCCCCCTCCCCCTGCTTGTGTTCCTGCTCTCGCTGTGTGTCTCTGTCAAATGAATAAAATCTTAAAAAAAAAAAAAAAAAAAAAAATCCTAGCTGCCTTTTTTTTTTTTGCAGAAATTGACAAACTGATACTAAAATTCATATGGAAATGCAAGGGACCCCAAAGAGCCCAAACCATCTTAAAAAAGAAAAACAAAGCTGGATGACTCACATGTTCTTATTTCAAAATAACTACAAAGCTACAGTCATCACAGTAGTGTGATGTTGGCACAAATACAAATCTGTATGATTAATAGATTAACAGAACAGAATTTAGAGTCCAGACATATAAACGATCACACTTACGGTAAAGTGACTTTCAGCAAGGGTGCCAAGCTAATTCAGTGGGGAAAGACTAGTGTTTTCAACTAAGTGGTATTGGGAACAATTGCATACCCACCTACAAGAAAATGAAATTGGACCTACTCCTCACATCACACATAAAGAATAACTCAAATGGATCGGAGACCTAAAAGTAACACTAAACTTTAAAACTCTCAGAAGAAAACACAGGAGTAAATCTTTATGATGTTCGGTTGGGCAAAGTCTTCTTAGATATGACACCAGCAGCACAAGCAATGTAAGAAAAAAACACATCTGGACTTTTATCAAAATTTAGTATTTTGTACTGCAAACAAAACCATCAAGAAAGTGAAAAGAAACCCATAGAATGAGAGAAAATATCTGCAAGTCATTTATTGGATAAGAGACTTGTATCAAGAATACATAAGGAACTCTTATAACTCAATAATAAAATAATAAGAAAGAGATAATAATCAAGTAAAATAAAAAAAGATGAGGAACCCATCTAAAACACAAAGGATCCAAATAGACAGTTCTCAAAAAAATTTTTTTAAATATTCTAATGGCCAATAAGTCCATGAAAATGTGCTCAATATCATTAGTCATTAGGGGAATATAAATCAAAACCACAATGAGATAGCATCTCACACCACACAGCCTGGCTAAAATCAGAAAGATTAATAACGTGGCAAGAGCTGGGATGACAGGAGTCCTCGTATATTGCTGGTGAGGATGTAAAATGGTGCACCCACTGTGGAAGACAGCTTGTCATTTCCTCAAAATGTTAAAACACAGAGCTACTATATGACCCAGCAGGTCATACACCTAGATACGTACACCAAAGATTAATGAAAATGTATGTCCAAAGAAACCCTTACACAAATGTTCACAGCAGTGGTATTAATAAGAGTCAAAAAACAGAGACAGCCTAAATGCCCATCTGCTGATGAACAGATAAATAAAAGGTGGTATATCCATATAATGGAGTACTATTTGGAAATATAAGGGAATGGGGTACTAATACATGCTAGAATATGGATGCACCCTGAAAACATGATGCTAAGTAAAAGAAGTATTATTCTTCTGAATATATATGAAATGCCCACAGTCAGCAAATTTATAGAGACAGAAAGACGAGTGGTTGCCTTGGGGGAAAGGCCTTAGGGAGAACAGGGAGCCACTGCGAATGGGTACGGGGCTTCTTTCTGGGATGACGACAATGTTCGAATACTACATTGTGGTTGATGGTGGCCCAGCTCCGTGAATATACTAAAAACCACTGAACTGTGCGCTTCAGGAGGATGAACTGTACATTTTCAATGGAGGAACCGTATGGTATGTGAATTACACTGCATGAATCTGTTAAAAAAATTTACCCACAGCGTGACCATCACATCAGCACTCTCCAAGGTCCAAGTCCTATTTCATCATCCTGTGTGCCTTACTCAGCGTCAACCACAAAGTGGGGCGTGCGATACCATCTCCACCAGCATGCTTGCTTTCCTTTCTCCACCTACCACGACTTCCACTGTCGTGCCTTGCACACAGGAGATGATCAGTAATTATCTGACTTCTGCTTGGTAAACTCTTTACTCAAAGATAACCGAAAATGAACTTGAACTTGGTAACAATATTCACAGATGCCAAGTCAGTGATGAATGGCTTCCCAGAAGGCCCCCTGTAAATTTTCTGAAGTGTTGAATGTGGATGATTTTTGGTTACAACAGTATGACTGCTGATTTATAACAAGCTTAATAGAAAATATTTATCACTTTATTGACATAACAAATAGAAACTAAGACGTTCTTTAGCCTTAGTAATTTAACGTCTGCAAATGATCTGAGTTCCAAATGTATAACCTGACAGTGGAATCAAAGATGTGAACATGACATATGAAAGTATAAATTTAAAGCAAAAGGTTTTCCGTGGTCACCTAACCCAGCTAAGACTACGCATCAGTTTATTCTGATGGAAGGAAGTGTGAGCAGAAATGAGTGATTCTTTTATAAACTATACTTGAAAGGAAGCTGGAAATAATCGTTCGTTCTGGTTTTGTCGTTGTTAGGAAGCTGGGAGGAAAGCGTAAGCTGGGGAAGGAAGGGTAGTGAAAGTGAGCAGGAACACACCGGTTACCACAGCATTCCACATTTCGCATTATTTCCTTTAGTCATAATGCCTTTTTACCCCAATTTGGACTCACCAAGTCTATAGAATCTATTAATGGCTGATTTGGTTGAAATACAGAGTCCTCATTTTCTTCGTCATTCTTTTTGCAAGACATTTGCTTGGAAGGAAGCAGGTTATACCACAGAGTGAAAATCTCATTGGAAAATGGTAAATCAGCCAGACTGATCTGAGTTCCAGCCTGTGTGAAATGAAGGTGGGGGGGAGGGGGGAGAAAAGAAGAGAAAATAAATGTTTAAATTCATATTTGCTTCTTCTCATATAATTAAGATTATGGGGCTAGCCTGTTTTAGGGTTAAACAAATGCAATACTCATGATATAAAGCATTGGTGGATTTTTTTTAAACCTGAAGGTGTGACTAAGTAAGAAATAACCCCAATCTAGATGCCAACCCTAGGATTATTTTGTGAGATACTATTTTGCTAAAACCTAATGACTAAGCATGTAACTTTTTGTAAGTAGAATTATTTTTTAATGAAAAGTCAAAAAATAAATAAAAAAAATAAGCGATTAAGCAGAAATCATAATACCTCTTACAATATATGCTGTAAGAGTCATTTGATTATTACTCACAAAAACCCATTATCCAGTATAAAATTCAAAAACAAAAACCTTACTGTGGTTCTTTTTTTTTTTTTTAAAGATTTTATTTATTTGAGAGAGAGAACGAGGGAGAGCACACGAGAGGGGTTACGGTCAGAGGGAGAAGCAGACTCCCTGCCGAACAGGGAGCCCGATGCGGGACTCGATCCAGGGACTCCAGGATCATGACCTGAGCCGAAGGCAGTTGCTTAACCAACTGAGCCACCCAGGCGCCCCCTTACTGTGGTTCTTAAATGAGAGACCAGATAGCAAAATTTTTCTTTGGATTAGATGAATGTCAAAGAAAGTTTTTATATTCCAGCAAACGACACATATGAGCCAGGATCTAATTAAACAGTACCATTTTTTTTAAAGGCTATTAATTAACGTATTTACTAACTTTAAGGAGCTTCTGACACACATATCTATTGCAGTAATCTGACAGCCTACTGAGTCGCTATCTTTGCTTCTTTTTTTATTGCCAGGTAATATTATCAAATATTTTTTTCATATAAAGAAAAGGAAATACCAACAAGAAATCTATCATCCTTGTAAACTCTGTTCATCATGAAGCTTGTTTTTGTGTTTCCTATTGTACCGCGGAGAAAAGTTCAACACGAAACCTGTCCTGTTGTTTGGACACAAGGGCACCCCCTCAATGCCTGCGCTGGAACACCTTGTGTACTTTTCTGGTGTATAATGGTTTTCTGGTTATTATGTACAGTGGTGTGTTAAACTCACCATTAGTTATACATGAAGTCTCTCGTGTGAGCATTTAAACATCATATTCCTCTAAATAGCAGCATTTAAGTCTTCCTAGAAGCTATAATACCATGGCTGGCGAGAATATAATAAAGGGACTGGATACTCAGTCTCCTGCTTAATTTAAACTTATAACAGTGAATTATGTGTGGGATGTCTTTTTGATATCAGGCTCCATCGTTCACCAGCTTCGTGACCCTGGACACATCACCTCTCTTCGCAGTTCTTTATCTAAAAATAGGGGGTACTCATACCTTCTCCCCTGAGACGGTCACGAGGATTAAAGGAGATAATGTATACCAAGCACCCAGCACAAAGACTCCTGTTGGGAATAACAAGCAAGCTCCAGACTGATCATCATGACAGAGGTCAAAGGGTAGAACGGGAGATAGATATTACAGAAAATCACAACTAATAAGCAGATTTGAAAGGTCTTGAATAAGAAAATGAAAACCAGAAATCACTGCTTCCGATAAAAAAATGAAACCACCACTGGCTGTGCCCAAGGCGCTGGGCAGATCTGTGGTGGTCCCAGGGCTGGCGAAACAGCAACGAGAGAGTTCTTCTCAGCATAGCCCAATCATGGGTCTTCTGCGGTAAAGGGAACTGTGAAATAACCTACCAGGCATTCTTCACTTCGGTGTTTACTAACAGAGCAAAGATCGACTCTCAGCGTCTTCTGCTGTAAGGCTGTTTGGGAAATGGCCACTCGGAACATATCATTGAATAAGATGGATTCTGTGGCTGGATGGACTCTTGTTCGAAACAGACAGCTGACATCCGTCGAGGAGGGAAGCAGAGCAACCCTAAAGTATCTGCAAAGAACAAGAGTAAAATGGATTTTACAGGTACTTCAATTATACCAGATCCGCAGCTGTCGTCTGAAATCATCTGCGAAAGAGAGAAACACAGGGGAACATGGAGTTCATCATCAACTGAGAGCTTTGCTGTCAGAATGGGTCCGTCTGTGCTCAGCGGCCCAGAGGCTCCGTTCTTCACCCACCCATGCTGACCGTGCCCCTGGGCCTGCCACTCCCCACAGGGCTACAGCAACGACAGGACGGGGGAAGAGAAGGGGAGGAGAAAAAATCCGTGGGGCAGATGAATTTAACGTCCCACCTGCCCGGGGACAGCCAATTCCAAAGTAAAGTTTTCTGAGTCTGGGAAGATGGGATCATGCTAAGCAAACTTTGTCCCCAAGAATACTCACACCCCAGTATTAAACAAGGGGTGCTGGTGATCATTTCCCAGGAGTGGAATACATTACCCTACTAGCGAAGAAGAACTGCTGAGGAGCATATTGTGAAGCAAACTTACAAGTTTTTTTTGTTTTTTTTTTTAAAGATTTTATTTATTTATTTGACAGAGAGAGAGATAGCGAGAGCAGGAACACAAGCAGGGGGAGTGGGAGAGGGAGAAGCAGGCTTCCCGCCGAGCAGGGAGCCCGATGTGGGACTCGATCCCAGGACCCTGGGATCATGACCTGAGCCGAAGGCAGACGCTTAACGACTGAGCCACCCAGGCGCCCGCAAACTTACAAGTATTACTGTCGAGCAGCACAGAAGTTTCAGGAAGGACAAACTGTCTTAAGAGGCTTATTGCTTTGTAAATTTCAGAGGAAGACTTACAGAAAACCAGTAACTTCTAATACGACTTTCAGGTGATTTTTCTAAGCACACGTTACATGAGGATTCACAATTCTTAGAAACGGCATGAGGTATTTTCTTTTAAATCCCAGAAAGACAACACCCATTAAATCCCTCGCCCGCTAATTCCACGCTGGTCTAATTCCGATTCTAAAAGATGCCTTTCGGGCGCCTCGGTGGCTCAGTTGGTTAAGCGACTGCCTTCGGCTCAGGTCATGATCCTGGAGTCCCTGGATCGAGTCCCGCATCGGGCTCCCTGCTCGGCAGGGAGTCTGCTTCTCCCTCTCCCACTCCCCGCTTGTGTTCCCTCTCTCGCTGTGTCTTTCTCTGTCAAATAAATAAATAAAAGATGCCTTTCTCCAATTATGAAAACTGTAAATTCACAGGCAGGACTGAGGGATGTCCTATTATTTCTGTATTTTATACCAGAATATAAAATTGATGATGCAATATGTATAATTATGGAACTATCAGAATATAAAAACTGATTATGAAGATTCAGCCATAGGGGACTAGGGAGCCTTGGGCTGCCGCTGTTAAGGCTGGAGATTTGGCAGAAGAAATCTGCGTTTGAAAGCCAGGAGGGGAAGTACACTGCAGAGCTGCAATGGAGGAAGCAATTCTCTGCTTCTCCAGACCTCAGTTTTCCTCTGTACCAGTGGCCTAACCTCTTCTGCGGCCCCAGAACGTTTCCACGTGAAGAACGGTTTTACATGGTTAAGAGCCAAAGGCACTGGGGAAAGAAGGTAGGGCTGCTTTTCCTTTCATTCTGCTGTAGGTGGGGTCTGTCCACACTGAGTCAGGAGCCAACCAGCTGGGACACAAGCTCTGTTTGGTGTAATTGATAACCAGAAAGTAAAATTTGAAGTTGGGGGGAGAAAAAGAACGATTTTAAGATACTTCATTTTTGGCAGTGTCATTATGTAGACCAAGGCTTTTATGTAGGGGCTTAAGAACATGGCGCTAGACATCTCAGGAAGGTGCAGACCAGGCAGATGAGTAACTGCCCACGAGCTGGGGGCAGAAGAGCCCACTGCACTCACTGCCATCGGTCCTCAACTGTGCCGGCTGTCACCCTACCTCGGGGCACTTTGTGGCTTCCCAGGAGGAAAGTGAGAGGCCCCGCGATTGGCTTGGCGGCGGCACATTTGCCGAGCCCTTACGGCACGAGATTAAAGAAGATGCGTGTTCTCGGGGACTTCTGTAGTTTTCTCCTGGACTAGTGGGATGGCTCTCCCTGTTCATAGGTTCGCTCCCTCCTGGAGCGGTCTTCTCCCAGATATGTCATACTGAAATAAAAAGGTTGCCAATGCTCCAATATCTCAGCCTATTTACTGGTACGGAGAAGTCACAAATAATATCATCAGGGCCGTCTTCCCTGCGTACTACTACTGACTGGCCTTCCTAATCTCAGTTCCAGGAAGCAGGCTCTTTGGGGTGACACAGACACTCCCCAGTAAGCCTTCCCTCCTTCTGGTCTCCCTGTTTAATGCGGACGCCCCCCATACACACACCTTGATTTCAGGAGATCTTGCAGCCCACTCCCCTCCTGGAATCCTATTCCCCTCCAACTTTGATGATCATCAATACACAGACATCCACTGGCTCTCTTCTTCTGCTGTCTACTGAATAATTTCCATCTAGCTCTATTTTTATTTAGACCCAGTTTCTATTAGATCCCATTCTTAAGAGTATTCGGATATGAACTAAAAAGTAAACCCACAAGGAAAACATCCAGAACTCTCACATTTACTTTATTAAATGTCCTTCTCATTGAGGAATATTCTCTATCACTAAGGCAAACATCCACCTGACTGGGTACAGAGTCTTGGGGGCCACCCCTCAATAGCTCTTTCTTATTTCCAAACCCTTATACTGGCAGATTGAACATATTATTAAGCGCAGGGCTACACACAGAGATGCTGGCTTTGAAGTCAGAGGTGCTAAGTTGAAATCGGGCTTCTTTTTGGTGGTCTCTAGCCATAGGCCTTTAAGAGAGCCCCCAAAAGTCTGACTCCAGAGGGTGTGAATGGTGGTGAAGACCGCTAGAGATACCTGTCAGGAGAGAGAGTCCCAGGCAACAGGCTACATGGCATTATGACATCACTTAAAGTGAAGTGATTTTAAGAAATTAATGGTCACAGGGAAGTGAATGCTTGATGCTCTGAATGATACTCTTATGTGCAGCATGATACGGTGTTTGGCAAAGTTGTACCGATAAATGAAATTTAATCACGACAGCTTCATGTAAAAGATCAGAAACTTACTTCAAACCAACAGCAGGCATAATCAGGCAACAGCAAACATCTTAATTCAATTCAAAGAATCGGGCCCCAACATAGCATAATACAGAATTTCTGGTTGAAAAGGGAGATTAAAAGAGTCTTGGTTCCTAAGCCTAATAATGAATTGGTTGGATAAGGATCAAAATCTAACATGCTTTTTGCACATTCTCCTTTTCTTTTCGTTTACTCCACTGTGGATTGAGGCTTGATCACCCCTGCTATGTCTTTTCCACGTTCATCTGGATGAACTGCTCAATTCCAATGTACAATTTATCATATGTGAACAATATTCAGTACTTCAATTTGTCCTTTGCTACTTTTACTTACACTTTTGAAGTGTGAGGTATCAAGAAGGCATGAAGATTTCGAAGTTGTGCTAAAATCACCATGAAACTTGACCTTTTTGCATCGTATCTGTCAAAAGAGAAGCTGATGAAACAGGGAAAGAGCACAAGCCATCTGTCCCTGCACCGAAGTCTAAAACTGCCCCTCCATGTGCGTTCCCTTACCTGAGGCCGACCTGCACCTGGGCTGTCTCCACGATGGTGACATCCCCTTCGCTGTAGGGAACATCTTCAACTTCACTAGGCCTAGGGACAGGGCGACAGGGGGCGTAGGTGAACTGTTTACGAACAGGGTCCTGACTGTTATGGTTACTCTTTGCCACTTATTGATTCTGAATGAAAACCTGAATTAACAGCACTCCTCCAGCCCCCAGGGGACCTGACCCCAGTGAAAACTCACTCTTTTACATATTTCTTCACCTTTTCAAGAGGAGTCTGCCTCTGAGCCATTAAGGTACAGACTTCCTGATGCCTGACTTTCCTGAGCCTCCCTGGGGTACCCCACACCCCGAGACACATTCCAGGCTTTCAGAAATATACACGAGAAGATTCATGTGCCAAACGGGTAGTGACTAGCAACTCCAACGTTCTCCCTGAGTTTTAAGCCTCCAAGTGGGTCAGATGGGATGTTTTTGGTATACTGAAATTTTCAGGCATTAGCCTACCGCCATTCCACTGCAAAGAGTGGACTCAGGGCTGCAGTAGGCTCACAAGCTGGAGCCCTCCCACGGCTAGGAGCAGAGACGGTGTAACCGAAAAGCGCTCCTGCGAGTCCTTACTGTTTCACGAAAGCTTCGTAGACCCCGCTGTCTCCAGCCACAGACTCATCGGACACAGCAGCCGACACACAGGCGGTCTTCTCCCCGAGCAGGTGGATTACTCTTCTTTTTGGTAATGACTTTTCCACATCTAGGGACGGGACAGTGAGCGTACTAATTAGGATTTATTATTAGGAAAAGTTAAGTATAAAAATACACACGTGGTTTGGTTATGAGAAATCCCAAAGTATTTGCATCTGGGGCATCGTGGATGTTACTACTGGAGTCAACAGATGTGGCCGATTCAAGGCACCAAGACGTGACAGAGGTCCCTGGGATGCCAGCTATTTTGGTCATCATTTGAGAAAGAATACGGTTTCTCTCCGTCCTGAAATACTTGAAGGGAAGGGATAAATGACACATTCCCATCGCTCCCTTGCTTCTCTCTGTCAGGGATTCACTGCAGTTACCATCTGCTCGGAGGCAAGGAGCGAGCTGCGTCCCTCAACTATTAAAGATATTTGTATAATAGAGAGCATCTACTACTCAATGGCAAGAAAGGTTTCCGCCTCCTTTGCTCTCCCCTTCTCTGCACACACCATATTCTACATCTCCTGTGCCACCACGTTAACAGAAGTTAAGAAAAAAAAGTCTTTGACTTACAGAATTCCTCACCAGCTAACACCATTAGAAAACAAAAACAAAAACAACTTTGTGCTACTGAATCTTTAGCACCAATGACCACTTAACTTTTATCTCGAACTCATATTCATACACTGCATCCTGCGGTGAGCAAGGAGCATTCATTTAAAGCTGCGTTCCTAGGTAATAAGCTGCGAGCCTGTGGAGTTCTTTTATCCTCCAGCAAGTGAGCGGGGACCAGGATTGGTATGCATTTCGCCCCCCTTCTGAGTCGTGACTTTACATCTTGTTAAGATGTTTAAGTTTTAAGGCTTCAGATTACCCGATTGATTGCTGCATTTTCCCTTTTATTTCTGGCAGTGGGAATGCTTTTTCCTTGATGATGCAGTGCCTCTCTCCGCCCACCCCCCTTTGTGAGGGGTGAAGGTGATGACATGATTTATTGATTACCCCCAGGAATATCCACGGCGGCTGAAATTGACTTTGACAATGACAGAGACTGACTGGAAGGACTTCATAGTCATTCCAACGCGGTCTCTGTCCTCCAGCGGGGACTGAGGCCGGAGAGTGGGATGTGCATAAAGAAAGTCGACTTTGCCTGTGGAAGATTCCAGAATCCTGAGGGAGACGAGCGGCGTCACGACCCCGGGACACCCGCCCCCCACGTGGCGGTCAGGCACCCCCGAATGGACCGAGTGCTGGTGATCTGACCTGAAGAGGATTAGTATTTACGGTTAAATATATGCTTTTAGTTGTTTTCTCACATGGCACTCAGTACTCTTTCCAAATAAAGCTCTCGGGTATCATTCCTTTAGGGTGACTTTTTAATAGCAGCTGTCTAGTACAAGATGCGTTTGAAAGGTAAAAGCTCTATCCTGGAAACTCTGGCGACACCGGGCTCTGGGCCGACTTCCCAGGCACAGTAGCAGACCCAGTGGCAGGAGCAAGGCGAGAGCCAGGCAAAGAAGCCCGCGGACCCAGGTGGGGTCGGACACCGGGAGATTCTCGCGCGGGTCCCCGTCCTCTGGCAGCCGGGCCCACTGACCGGCCCCTCCAAACTGACTGAGCATTGACAAGGGGTCGCTGGAGAACACTCGCAATACACGAAGAATGAAAACAGCTTTGACATGTTCAAGATCCTTCAAGTCCAAAGCACAGAAGCATGGCAGAGAAAACACTCCAGTTTCTTCTCTTGCTTCTTCTTTTGTACTTTCATAAATTTCAGTGGTCCGTGGTAGGACCTGGGCTTAGCACCGTCTGTATGGATTATCCGCATATGGTCATACTAACGACATGAACGGAGAGCAGAGCACCAGGCACGGTTAGAGGCTTTCGCTGTGTTCCAGCATCGATCCTGCCAGGACCCTGTGAGGTAGAGACTCAGTCGTTCCCATTTTGCAGCTGAGAAACAACAAGGCTGAGAGCTGGGGTAATGTGCTCGTGCTCGCTAGAACCAAGGTGAGGGTGCAGGATTGGCTGGCTCCAGGGGCAGAGAGCATCGCTCGGCTCCACACACTGCACTCCTTGCTGGGGGCGGAAGGGAGGCCTGACCGCTGGCTTCTGCTCACCTGGAGCTGCTAAGTAGACACCACCCCTCTGCTCATTTTCTCTGCCGTGGAGGATTTTGATGACACGTCACTTGGAGCTGTGGCCCCTTCTGGGCGGAGCCACACAGACCACACTAATGTCTCCTGGCTCTCCAGGCTGGGGTGTCGGTCTTCAGGATCGGAAACCACACACACGGGATGGATTTGTCTCTCTCTCTCTTTTAAACATCGAAACTGGCCAATCAGTTAAGACTCCGAATTCTCCGGACCAGAGATACAAAATAAGGAGGTTTCTCAAAGCAGCAGGAAAACACTTGTGAAGAGGCCTGGCCTCTTCTGTGTGGTGGACACACGGTGACGTGCGTAGATCTGAGCGGGGCTCCTGGGGACCGGCCCTGGGGCTTTTATTTCACATTTCGTTTCTGGCTAGCTCCGAAACAGACCATCGTCCTCAGACCACAACTACGGTCCTCTGCCAGCAAGGGCACCATCTTGTGCTCTTTATACAACCACTCCTACTACAGCGGAAGCTTCCGCCTCGCAGAGGGATACAGATACTAAAAAAAACAACAACAAAAATGGAATCCGCCCTCTGTTTGTGTCTGGGCACGCAACGGCAGCAGTGAGAGCCTGGTCGAGGGCACACTTCCCCGGGTGCAGCTAGTCACGCGGCCAGAAGATGGCAGGGTACCACTACTACATGGGACCCGGCTTTCTCCAAGTTCACCCTGCGCAGAAAGGGAGTGTCTGGCAAGAAACAAAAAATCGTATTTGTATAGAATTCCCTGAGCAATCTAAACACTGAGCCCTGGTACTAATTAGCTGGTATGCTAATGGGCTTGGCTTTAACCTGTTTTAGGCCAACTTTTAAAAGAAAGCCCTCTTCTTTTGCCTTGCTATTTCAGAGCCCGAATCTATTTGTATGAAGTATGAAGTATGTTCACAAGACATGTCCCCAGTCAGCTGCCACCGTCCAGAGGGTTTCTGGACAAGAAGACAGACACTTCATGATTAAATCTAGTAAGCAGGGAAGGCGACTTTTATTTGATAAAGAAAAAAAGGTCTAGTTTCCAGGTATATCAATAAAAACTCCTTCTCCAATGAAGCCAAAATGAATAAGCAGCGCAGAGAGAAGGGGGGGGTGGGTAGCACAGTTGTTTCTGTGGAAAAAGTAGCCCTCCCACCATTCTTCTTAAAATAATTAAGAGGGAGCAGATAGAAGCAAAGGTCTCCGCTCACCTGCAGTTCCTTCATACAACGGCTCCCGGGCACATTCGCTGAGGTCTTTATCCTCTGAGAGAGACTGGGACACTCCTCCTGAATGTGAATCCAGCAAGATCTGACTCTCGCCGAGGCTGATGTCTGCAAAATGGCTACTCAATTCACAGTCTTCAAAGTCAGCAGTGAACCGATGGAGAGGGACATCGTGAGCAGACATGGGGAACGTGCCTTCTAGAACCAAGGGAGAGCCGGGAGGGGACAAGGAGGAGAGGGAGGACCGTGAGGACAGGGACGTCACAGACTTGGGGGCCTCAGTCCGTGGGGGCGTGTGCCCTGTGGCTGCAGCCGCCGCCCCACAGGGACTGCTCTGGCCAGGCTGCCTGGGGGACTTGGCCACTTCGTTTTCGTGGATGGTGGTGATGGGTCCAGAAGGAATGTAGCCGCCTTTCTCCTGTAGAAGGAGGTCCAGTTTGCACTGATAATCCGTGTCCACCTGGTCGCTCTGACTGGTGTAACAGAGCTCTCCGGAACTGAGGGAGCTGAGCGAGCCTCTGCTGGAAGTGTTCAGAGACCCCCGGCTGGAGGCCAGGGAGCCCAGGCTGCTCCCGGACGACATGGACAGGGTGCTGGCCGAGAGGCTAAGGGGAGAGGAGCACTCGCTGTGAAAACTGGGATGGTACAGAAAACCCAAGCACGATGCCCGCCACCTCCTCCTCCGGACCCCGGAGGGAAGGAACCCAGTGGCGCCAAATAACATAATGACTGCAGGAAAAAGAACCTGCTATTATTATACCACCTACTGCCATGTTGACTCATGGACACTTTCAACCTGGCTCTCCACATAGCAATTCTATTCTGACTAAAGATCGAGTCCCTTTTGCAGAAACCAAAACAAAGAGAATGATGAGTACCTATTGATAAATCTACCTGCACAGATATCCAGCAGCAAGTATGCAACTTAATAATACGGAAGGGGGAAAAATAGCATACACAGTACAGAGTATCAGTGTAGTTATTCTGGTTAAAGAATAAAGCTTTTAATTTTGAGAGAGAACAAAGGCAAGCTAATAAAGACAAAGAGGTTTCACACGGGCCCGTCTCCCTCAGGGTGTGCGTACTGAAGGAGTGAACACGTAGCTGACTATTTTAAGGCAAATCTTTCCTCCTCCTCCCTTTTTAAAAGAAAGGGTGATCTGTAGAAATGTGTCATTTCCTAAGTATGTATTCATAGCTAAAATATATAAAGTATATCTTCTTCCCACAATATCTTCTGCCTATGACCTTGGGGTTCATGAAAAAAAAAATCTTGTAACTTTAAATTTGATCATCCAAGTTTTAATTGTACCAGCATAACTATTTTATTTACTTTTAAACAGTTGAAAATAAAGAGAAAAGTAATCCAGGATGAACCAAAACACGCCTGAATGTAGTCAAGAAAAACTTCTCCCTCAAGAACCAAGCAGGCTTACCTTTTAAGTTGTGAATGCAAATAAGTAGTTAATTTAGTAGTTTCTTCAAGTTTCTGTAGGAGCTCTTTCCTTCGCTCTTCCAATTTCAATCTAGAAAAAAGAAACAGAAACGAATTTATTTCCATGTAATTATAATAAAGCACAGAAACTGAAGGAAAAGATTCTTATTATATAAACATTATGTACCATGAGGGGGAAACCCAAGTGAATGGACGGGAGAGAAAACAGAACCACCAGCAAGAAGCAAAGTGGGCGGAACTGTCCATAGCCACGCCAAGTGAAGAGGAAGATCTATCCTCAATCAACATTACTGAGAATTTTTAAAAATCTGGTATTCTAAAATTTTCTTAAATGGGTAAAACAAAAAAACAAACAAACAAAAAACCCTTGTGCTCTCGTGAGGTAGGGAAAGACAGGAGGAAAACCACAAATCACTAACAAAGATTGCAGAATCCTTCTGCAGGCCTGGGATTTGGGCTTAAGTTACTAAAACACTTGACGGGAGTAACAGAGAACTGTGAAAGACCGTCCGAAGTGCTGGAATTGACAAGGACTGCTCCCAACTGCCATTCAGTGACAAAAATTCCAATCTTACTTTGATGAGAATTTCAGCGATTAAGAAACAAATTAGTCCATATTGCCATTGTGAGCTCATTTGGGCTTAACGGTTTCAACAAGGAAAAGATACAAAAGTGATTTCCCTTCCTACTATACAGCACATCTCATTGCCCGCAACGATTATCGTGAAATTTCATCCACATTCAAGCGACCGAGTTTGTAAAGAAATTTTAAGTATCGGGGAACTGTGTATGTGAGTGAGTTATCTAAAAATATATCAAGCGTAAGGTCTATGTCACCTGAAGGTCTTTAGACATCCCTGGAATGAGCCCGTCCAGAGTGGTCAAGGACCGCAAAATGGGACCCAGAAAACCACTGTGGTTTCTGGTGGATTTGCTGCTACCGACCACGTGTCCTTAAACAAGTCACTTAGTCAAGGGGTCCCAGCGTTCTCATCTGCAAATCGGCGATTAAAATCCTACTGTGTCTGTCTGCTAGGGCTGTTAAAGGGATCAAATGGCGTGATGTATGTGAAAGTGCTCTGCAGACATCAAAACAAAGCTCCTTGTTCAAAGCCTCAGCATGCCTTACAAGGTGGGGATATAAAAATTAGCTATTTTTCTTTGGAGAAGAATAAAATTTCCCTAATTTCTAACCTCTTTGAAATGTATGTTTTAGGCAGTAAGGAAACATGCCCATATTTTATTTATAGCTATCTATCCTTTGATGTGTCACCAACACAATTTCATTATATGTTAAAATAAAAAAAGCAATTCTTGTCATTTTGTTTAGTACTTCAAAGCGTGTTAAATTCTTAATTCCCAGCTTTCAAAGGTGTATTCTGAAAAGGAGTACAGTCCCTATTTTTTTTTTAATCTCTTAAATATAAACAAAAACTCAACATGGAAAAAAAATTAATACAATTTAGATGAACTGAATTAGAAGGTAAAGGTCTGGAGAAAGCCCCCAAATCTACCAAAATCCATGTCTTCTGAAACAGGAGAAACATTTTTGAAGGAAGTTTTAAAACTAAATACTGCACAAATGAAGGCTTTTCTGGTGTGGTAAGGAGGCTTCAGTATGACATTAGTGTGTTTCATGCTGAAATTTAAAATCCAAAGCTTTCCCCATCTCGGTCACAAGCGATGGTCCTCATTCTGGCCTCCTCCAGCGGACTGCTAAGGACCTCTTTGGCTTTGAACTGCTGAGACCCGGCTTCGTGTTCTTGTTGGCATGCTCCCCAGTCAGATCCTAAGCTCCCGGAAGGCAATCACTAGCTTTTTCTCCCTCTTCCGCCCAGGCTGCCTGAAGAGCCCGGTGCCCCTCCCAGCACTCCCTTGTGGCTGGTGGCCGGTGTCTCTAGATAACCCCTTCACTGGGAGAAGAATAACCAAGGCACTCAGGAGCTCTTCCAGTGGGGTGGCCTTCTTGGATCAAGCACCCCACTCCTATCTCTGATGTAATCACAGAAGCCAGAAGTCTTCCTCAGATTCCACGTGTCCAAGAAGCATCCTCCCCAACTTCCTCTGGACCAGGGAGTAGAAGAAATTGCGCAGGTATCAGCCCCTTCAAGAGGGTGCATCTCTGTCTCTCCAAGCCCTTCTCCACGGTGAGCAAGGATCTTCTCCACCCGGCCCCTAGAAGATTCCTCTCCTGCTGGTCCAACTGACCCACGCTATGCATTCATCTGCTCTTTGCAAGACAAGGGCAGCGCCTTCCCACTGTCTTCTCTCTGCCCTTGTGCCCTGAGAGAGAGAAGCACCTGCCCAGTCTCTCCTGATGAAGACCACCCAGAACTTTCCACGTAGGGAAAATGTCATGTCATCTATAGAAGTAAGAAGTTCCTTTTCTGTTAAAAAATAAGTGACACTAATACCCCGGGGCACTTACTGGCTTTAAATTGTTTTCAGAATCAGAGACAGAAACATTCATATATTATTAAGGAAAATTAAGACATCCAGGTAAGAAGTAAGACAAAACTCTCCAGATCTTGGTGAAAATACGGAGCAATGTTAGGATCTTATCAGCTACAGAAAAGCACAGAGGTTTTGGAATTTCAGTAGCTGTATGGAGAGAACATGGAAGATGTGTGAAAAGTCCCACACACAATGACAGTTTTCATTTGAGAGCCATCTGTCTTTGCTGATGGTCCCTCACGGTGAGCATCTCCCTCTTCCTGAAGTGCTTTATGGCCCACGGTGGGAGCTTTGTCACTGCATTTGAGCGCTCGGCCCGGTGTGGGGCGGTGCGGGCCGCACACGGCTGGGGGACTCTGGGGTCATGCTCACTGGCTGAAATTCAGGTGAGCTTAGCTCCTTCTGAGCCCAACTTTCAGCACTGATTCAGAATCTTGCCTGAGGCCACCCCTGAAATAATGAGAACCTGCCATGTAAATGGAAAATGGGACAATTTGGGGGAATGCAGAAGTGGTTTCTATGGCAGTTGGGTAGGTGCCAAGAGGAAACTGAAGGATTTAGAACTGGTGAAGCACAATTTGTTTTATGGTGAAACAAAGTTTTACACAGTGAATCTTATTTCCCAGAAGTATCTCCCAGCACCACCTGCTTTAGGGCTGAGGAAGCAGTGTTGAGAGGTATTCTCTTGCTTGCTAAGCACCCTGTTTTAGTTCAACAGGAACAATACACAGAACAGAAACACTGTACATACACGAGGTGAGAAGAAATAATGAAGATCAAGAAAAGGTGAGAGAGTACAGAGGGGCAAAGTAAAACCACTGACAAGAACAACAAAACCCAAAGCCATACCATCTGTGTCTACTCGGAAAATAGACTCGGCGCTCCCTTCGGCAGGTGGCTCTGCTCTTTCGGACACGTGAGATGCTGGGTTTGCATCCAAGGAGAGCAGTGAGAAAACTTTAAGTTGCTCAAGCAAGAAAGTATTAGTCCTCTCAACCTTATACAACAACATAATGACAGGGATTTGGCTTCTGGCCACCAACATACGACAGATATAAAACACAATTATATACACGTCCCTTCCTGCTAACGTCTAGTTGTGGGAGACCGGGGCATGCAGGTATCATAAGTTAGAGGGACATTCAAACTGTTTACTCCCCATCTGAGACAAACCCCATGGATGGATCTCACTGAGGATGTAATTATTTTATATAAGTATTTTATAGCTCCTCTTCCTGATGGGTTCAAAACTACGGCTTCTGCCAGAATTTGGACAGTTATTATATGTATTATGCACAAACCAAAGTACAAAAGCCAGAGCCTAGGCACTTAGGAACAAACTGTATTTTTAACGTTACTTCATCAGTCATTTTTGAAGCTCTAGCCCTTAAAAAAAAACAAAACAAGACATCATGCCTGTAAAAGCTGATTAAACAAACACACATCTGTTCTCTCTCTCCCAGAACAAATCTAAAGGCTGTTTCTAGGCCCTTCCCAGATTCACACACTACAGAGAATAGCTGAGATGCACTCAGCGCGTTCCACACGTATGATTAGGTAACAGTAAGTGTGACACAAGGTGCAGGTGTCCTTGCTGCTTTCTACGTGGGCCACACAAAAGCTACTCATTTTGTCAGGTTTGCTGGTGATTAGCAACCTTTTATCCTACAAATTTAAGATCTATAAACACAGACACGACATCAAGGTAATTCAGGAAAACAAGGAAATTCTGCCCTCTCTCCCTTACTTTTGGATCCCTCTGGTCTCTGTTGGGTGGATCGTGTCCCCCCCAACCCCCCACTGCCCCGCCAGCCTTGTTCACACCAGCCTTGAGGGTGAGCCTTCAGTCGGCACCACTAGACCAAGATGTCAGGGCAGCCAGGGCAGGTGGGCGATGAGAATGCTTTCAGATGGTAAAGGAACGTAGGCTGTAGAGGCTTTTCCTCCTGACTCTCGCGCCTGCTCTGTATGGCCACCGAGCTGTAGCTCTGCTTTACCTTGATCACCAGTTTCAAACTCACAAAAGTCAACTGTCCCCAGATGACTAAACTCAGGGTAGGCAAGTCCGCATGCTAACGCCTAACCAGCAACGTCCGAGGCTTTTCCTCCTACCATTCCCCGCACCACACTTCAAATGTTCTGATATTATGTAGACACACAGCCTTACACATTCATGGAGGACAAGGAATTAGAAGGCAAGAAGCCAAGAAGGTAAAAAAAAAAAAAAAAGGCAATTAGATTATGGCTGGGTGTTTTAAACTTACTTCCAGTCACTTGACATTATACGGATGTGACCTTCCTTCCTGTCATCCTGGGACAGGCACCGCACCTGGACTGCTGGCCTACAGAATGGATGGGTGTGCAGGGGTCCCAGAGGGCTGCACGGGCTGTGGCTTGTGGCTGGGACAGGGGTGGAATCATACCCGCCAGCGAGGCCGGGATCCCAGGGCTCCCTCGCACACGCCTCCTTGGCCAACTGACACCCAGACATTCCCCTGCTTGACCCTGCAGCTGACCTGCTTACAGAACTGGATTTTCTTGGGTTAAATGATCCATTCGCACCTTCCCCCGGAAAGATCACAAAACTGCGTCAGGTGTTTCCCTTTACATTTTCACCTGCTTCGCAGGAGGGGCTTGACTGACAAACAAAATCCCAGTGAACATTCTGTGACCTGTTAAGATATCAAAGGGAGCAAGCTGTCTTTTCCTTGTGAAACGAAAAGCAATAAACTTTTGCATTCTTGTGAGTCATAAACCTCCGAGTAGGAAGCTGCCGGCGCTGTAACAGTCCCGATAATCTTTCTTATCAGAGTGCAATAGTTTATAGCCACTGTTACCAGACTCAGTCAGCGATGGACTGCATTCCTGGTTTTATGTCCACATTCCTTACTTACTCAACATCTGTCACAGGCATTTTCGCCTTCCTAACGAACAGAAGAACTGATGCCGCAGACTATGAGGAGGGTGTGCTTTATTGCTCTACGGAAAGAAGGTCCCTTTGTGCCGGGTCTCCGTCCACCGGCAACAGATGCGACGGAGATTTCCAAAGACCCGGGGGACCTGGCCTCCAGGCACAGCTCAGACTCCCGCGCACGGTCGGACGCGTCCTTGTCCCCAGGGAGGGAAACGAACCTCTCGGCCAGGGCTCGGCTCGGCGGACCCCTCGCGGACAGCAGTTCGTCCTCCAGCCGCCGCCTCTCGCCTTCCAGGCGCTCCAGTTCGTCTCGAGTGCGTTTCTGCGGGGTGACGAACTGAAGCTCTTTCAGAAGCTCTTCCTTCTCGTGGATCAGCATCAGCTTCTCCTTCTCGATATCCAGCGCCCCGGGCCACGTCTCGCTGTCCAGTTTCGACAGTTCAATTTTTAAGTTGGCCATACTAAAAACAAAGCGGTAAGAGAGGGATGTGCACACTGAGAACTCTCAAGAAAGGGAGAACATGAACCAGGCTAACTTGGGGGGCTGGATGCTTGCTGTCCTGACTTTACTCAGGGGTGACCGCCCCCCCCTCGGAGGCAGGGGAAGAGCAACAGCCCCGCCCTCCAGGCCCTGGGCCCGACTTGACACCCGGCTCTCGTCCACTGCCTTTTCCTCACCTTTCCAACACCAGCAAGCACACCGCCTATCTGAAAGAAGGGTGAAGGTCAAAGTACACTGAAGCTTAAAAAGCAGAGAGCTCTGGGAGCCGCGGGCGGCCACCCCGATGTGTGACTGCCTGTGGAGGGTGACAGGAGGGATACCTGGAGAGCCTCCGTTTTATTTATTTTTACTTTTAATTTTTTTAATAAAGATTTTATTTATTTATTTATTAAGAAAGAGAGAGAGAGAGCGCACAAGCAGGGGGAGCAGGAGAGGGAGAAGCAGACTCCCCGCTGAGCAGGGAGCCCGACACGGGGCTCGATCCCAGGACCCCGGGATCATGATTTGAGCCGAAGGCAGACGCTTAACTGACTGAGCCACCTAGGTGCCCCCGGAGGGCTTCCATTTTTAAAAAAATGAAGGTAAATGCTGTCTGACAGGATATTACTATAGATTTTGTTCCTCTGGGTAAAGACGCCATCCCCCAGGAAAATGGTAGTCCCCAGTGTCGCATGGGCAGCAACTGGGACGTGAGCCAGTCAGGGAAGGGTGGGGGAAAAGAGAGAGCAGTGGCTCAGCCAAGCAGTATTACAACAAAATCAATCCAGCACGTTCCACGTGGCCAAGGAAAAGGGAGCAGCCCTGCCCTCCCGGGCCTCCTCCACCAGAATCCTCCTGCAGCTAGCTGTGTGCTGTGAAATCAGTGTGTACCCGGTTTCCTGAGCGCTCTCTGAGCCAGCCCTGTAGACGTGACTGCATGGACCCGGGCGCCCTCCGTCCACAGGAGCCGTCCAGTAGCACCTTCCCCAGCACGGACGGGCAGCCAGCACAGTGACTGCAGGTACTGGAGCGCGGGGGACAGGGACGGGAAGATGGGAGGAGGAGCAGGAAAGCCCCACAGGGAGGAACGTCACCGGCTGCATCATTCTGCCTGACCTGGGAGTCCACCATGTCGCGAGCTTCCCGCTAAATGGTCAAGTTAACTTCTGACGTAATGAGAACGTTCTGACCCGCCCCCGGGGCCTCCGAACCAAACGACTTGCTCCGGGGCACTTGTGAGCACTACCAGGATGGTTCGCAAGGCAAATGGCACATGGCTGTTTGACCATCAGCACCACATCAAGGCAAATTATGAACACAACTGATGTTGGCGCAGGGGATCGGTACGCCTATAAAAAAAAAAGTTGGATGATCCCTCTGGATACTGGTATAACCCATACCACAATATGAAAAGTGGAAAGAGGGCATTTTATTTCCCTTTTTAATGGAAGAAGTTGTAGGACGGAAGAAAAAAGGTAAACAAAATAATGTTATTGGGACAAAGATGGAAGTATATCCACATTCTTGTGCCACAGTTTCTTGTTTGAGTTAAAAAAAAAAAAAAAAATTGCCCTCCCTCACCAGCACTGCAGGTACAGTGTGCTTCTGATTTCCACCCAGCGTCTGCACTCATGATAGATGTAACATCAGCTGTTCTTCGGCCAGAACCACAAAACCATACACAACTGTCTCAGTGTGCAAGAAAATTAATCATCAAAATGCTAACTAAGCATGGTATTATTAGCTTCATTAAGCACATAAAACAAAGGCTGGAGGAGAAAACAGGTTTCAGGGAAATACAACCCGCCTCTTTACTTAGAATTGAAGAAGAGAACATTTTCAACAGATGCACAAACCTCGAGATTTACCTTCTCATCAGCCTTGCTAGTAACTTTAAAATAAAACCCCAAATGAGAACAGGACAGCGAAGCAACCCAATGGGAAAGAACCAATATCTTAAGTTTTGATGCGACTGAATTAACAACTGAATTGGGAGCAACAACATAATGAAGGAAAGAAAGGCATCTATTACTTGTGGGATCAGGCGTTAGGTGGGTCTTGGATTTTATTTGGAAAGGGCACACCAAATCTGGGGAAGAAGGTATGAAGGTTTCCAGGTACATCTAGGAAGATGGAATAAGCTGTTAGCAGCCAGAGTAAAGTGAAAGCTCAAGCTGATCCAAGGGAAGCCAAGTTGAGCCCCAAAGAACTCAGGGGCACGAGGCCTTGTTCTCCAAAATTAATTCTGAGTTATGGCCATTCTCCTTCAGAATGCCAGACATAGATCCTGGGCTTTGTTTACAGTAGAACCCAGGAGCTGTGGCCGCTATTGGGTTGGTATGCTCACAGCCAGAGGGCCACAAAACCACAAAGCAGTCCTCAATCCTTATGGTGGGTAAGGCATTTGCCTGGGCTCCGAGAAGTAGCCAATAAAGTATATAAAATGTTTTATAACCTCAAGAAATGCATAATCTACCCAGGAAAACTTATAGGCATTGAAATTAGCTGAGTGAAATGTTGTTCACAGAAACTGACTTGCTCAAGCACACACGGTTAGTAATTTGTAGAACAAAGCTTATGAGTTTTTTTTTTTTTTCAGTCATCAAAGAACTAAGTAATATTAGTAACAGAGGTTACAAAGAGGCAAATATTGTATTTAGGCAAATCAAATAATTGCTATGTTAAAGCCAGATAACCTCCAAGAACCTTGGCTAATTACTTTTAAATAATCCTCATCACCAGTAACAATGGGTATACTTTATTATCTATCTGATGGTCTTATGATAGCAAACTCTGACATTCTAGCAGGTTCTCAGCTGAGTTTTCCATGTTCTCAAGGAGGAACATGATAAATTTCTCTGTCGCCTACAGGGTGGTACTGCAGTTTTTTTTCCCCCAATGCCTTCCTAAATAATAAATCAAAAGCATTTTTAAACTCTAAAAAGGAAAATAATGAAATCAAATAGATCAGTATGACCCTCTCCCTCAAAATGAGCAAGGTGTCCATATTATGAAAACTAGTTGAGCCTGTCTACTGGATGAGGAGGGAGAAGTCTCCTGAGGCTTCCCCAAGCAGAGTCACAAGGTGAGGAAAATAAAGCACAGGGTTCTAAGGGTCTAGAGGATAAACGAGAGAAATAAGGATCTTTCCTCCTTTGCCCTAAAGTCAGTTGCCAGAACAGATAGCTCGGCATCTTCAAGGACGTTGGCGGGAAATCCTCCCCTCAAAGCAAAGGAATTCCAGTTATTTACCTCAGAGGTCCTCGGCCTCTAAGTCCTGTACCCAAGTCACTGCACCATGATTCTACCTAAGAAACCGATCTTCCCGCTTCTACTTGTGAGTAAGTACTGGACAAGCTCAAAGCTTCCTTCTTCCAGAAGGGAAGGGGGCAATTTCATGCCCACACTTCTCATTAATTCTCCCTGTCCTTCAGCTGTGGGCAGGGGGGAGAAGCTGAGCTGAGAGGGGGGTCTGCAACCCTTACATCTAAAAACCTGCAAGAGTAACCTTGGTAGGAAGATGTTGGGGAGCACCCAGCAGATGTCACTATAGGAGTAAAGATTAATTCTGGGAAAGAAAATACCATTTGAGCCCACTGACCACCGAACACAGAATAGCTCCCCTGCTGTTACCTTCTTTTGGCTTCTTCATATTGTAGGCTCAGCCTGACCTTTTCAGCTAAATTTGATCTACTTCTCACTCCGATCTGGTAAAAAACAAAAGGGAAAGAAGTCAATTAACTCTGCTAATGAATGAAGGTAAACTGCTTTTGCTTCTAGGAAGCACAAGTAATTGGAAAACTAAAGAAGATGGTCTTGAAATTGGGAACACCAGTTTAAAAAGGCACTTACTTTCTAGTCTCAGTAGGGGCAAAACATTTCTTTTTAATTCAAGCTTGTCTGTTTTTCAAAGACTTTAACATCATTTTCTCCACACATTAAATTCAAGATAAAAAGTATTATGTCAAGGTTTCTGGTATCTTAAAGAGTTTACAAAGGGTGTACAGGTCAATAAAATTTATGAACTGAAACTAATTTCCTTGTCTCCATGAACCCAAATTTCCATCACTTAGCTTCTAAATGCAAAGAACATAAACTAAATAACTTCAAAAACCAATTTTTCAAACAGGTAAGTCCTATTGTTGATCTCTACCTGTTTTATTTTCATAGCACAGAATTCAAAGAAGCAATAGGGAATACGAAAATAACTGGGACTGGACTAGAAAACAGCATCTGCTAAATGGCACCCCAAAGGAGAGAATGCAAAACAATTAACAGTAGTCAAACCACTGTTAAATATTTTCAAATGCTAGGCATAAGCCACAAATCAAACGTTTTAATATAAACAACCTTTGATCTACAAAAAAAATTTTTAAGGCGTATTTTTTTGTTTCTCATTAGCCTCAATGTTTAATTGAAAAGATCTGAATTTCGAAGACCTTAAATGTAATAGGAAAAACTTAAATTCTCATGCACCTCTAACCTTTCAATAACGTCTCCAAATAAATACGGTCTGAGAAAGTTTGAACAAAGCCGTTCATATGGACAGATCCTGATATGCTTGGCACCCAGACAGAAAAGATAAGGCTCTGCTTTTTTAAAACCAATCTAGGAGTAGGAAATATTGAATCCACACAGCTGCACTGCAAACCACCTCACTCGCTCCTGTCCCACTTGCCATCCGTACTGTAGATCAGGCTCGTCAAGGACAGCGCTGGGGACAACCCTGCCACGTGGATACTTACATCTCCAGAAATGCTTGTCTGTGACCCAGCGTCAAGGGTCTGTCTGGACAGAGATAAACGGGAGTTCACAGGACTGGATCTCAAGTCTGGCTCGGATGTGCCAATGCTCTGATCCAAATGGAACCGCTCCTGCAGCTTAGCAAGACTCTGTTGAGGAAACACAAAGTCCTACATAGAGCTTAACAAGTAAGATGAAAAACTTCCCCAGCAGGTAAACTCAAACTGAAAGACATGATCGCCATAGAAAAATGACTTTATTTTAACAGGAACTTATCATTTTAAATTACTGAAAAAATAAGGTGAGAATATGATTTTGTACATACACACGTGTGACTTTGGAAGTATGTGAGATCATAATGAACGGGTTATCTTACCTTCCCCAAGACAGCATGGCAATTATTCACACTGTGCATAATGGCATCTTTATATGTGATACATGCATTTCTTGTTTTTAAAGTGTCATTGAGAAGAGCTCTCTTTTAAAAAGACTCATTTCAACTACTCCCTTCATGCAGCAGAAATTATGGAAACATGGAATACCTACAATGCAAACTCACTGTAGATCCAGCAAGCAAACTTCCTACTTAGCAGACTTCTGTAATTATGCCGCTCTGCATCGGGATGGAACCAAAGGGATTATCTGCTCCCACTAACGTCAGAGATGAAGAGACCGAGGGCCAGGAGTTGCAGTCCTGGCGGCTGACCCCAAGCCTGTCCTTACGCCGACTGTATGGTATTGCCAGAGGGATAATGTCTGGTTTTGTAAAGTGAATGGGCCTGCGGCTGGCACCCACACTTAAGAAACGGAGCTTACTTTATTTTATTTATTTTTAAAGATTTTATTTATTTATTTGACAGAGAGAAAGAGAGAGAGCACAAGCAGAGGGAGAAGCAGGCTCCCTGCTGAGCAGAGAGCCCGACATGGAGGCTCCATCCCAGGACCCTGGGATCATAACCGGAGCTGAAGGCAGATGCTTAACCGACTGAGCCACCCAGGTGTCCTGAACTGAGCTTACTTTAAAGAGAGGATGTGAGCAAGTGAAAGTATTAAAAAGGAGAAAGATCTTAGCTACACTGCTATCAACCCTCCCCCTCATAAAACACTAATAAAAATGGTAAGAAACTCATTATTACTAACTTTAAGAAAAGCCAGGATTTAATCCTGACATTTACGATTCTTAGGATAAAAAATGAGAAATGTCCCCCCAAATTAGAAATCTCAGAGATCTGATTTGTGCCTTTTATCTAACCTTCTTTATTTTCTTTCAAAGGAATATTTATGCAAAATATATGTACAAGAGGGATAAAACTCAAGCAGTCACATCAAATAATAGACTACAGAAAAGAACAAAGAAACCTTTTAGTGACTTTGGGCAAGTCTTTTCTATTTTTTCATTAGTAGAGAGAAAAGATTAGTATTTTTCAAATCTGTCTGTGCCGACCATGCACCTCATCAATTTAGTAGGTCATGACTAGCATGTTTTTTGATGAGAAAGAAGAGACTAGAAAATTAATTCGGACCACGTTACCAGTATTAAGAGTATTAAGAAATAAGTATTAAGAAATACGGTATGTATGTGTCCAAACATGAAGACATTTTTGTGTGACTGGGTTGTCATTAGAATATATCTCTTACTGTGGGTCATGGTCAAAGAGCTCTGAAAGTCACAGAAACTGCCCACCTAATGTCCTTCTCAGCTCTACTGTTGATTGCCCTATCTACTAATTAATTGTTTTCTATGCTTTAGTAATTGAAAAGGAATCTAATCTTTTAATTTAATCTGGTCTGTGCATAAATCCAAATTTCTTCTTTACAGGAACAATCAAAGATAACCTAGGGGCACCTGGGTGGCTCAGTTGGTTAAGCGACTGCCTTCGGCTCAGGTCATGATCCTGGAGTCCCTGGATCGAGTCCCGCATCAGGCTCCCTGCTCAGCAGGGAGTCTGCTTCTCCCTCTGACCCTCCCGACCCTCCCCCCTCTCATGCTCTCTCTCTCTCAGTCTCTCTCTCAAATAAATTAAAAAAAAAAAAATCTTTAAAAAAAAAAAAAGATAACCTAAAATTGCTGAATTATAAAGTTCCAATGTAAATTTGCTCAGGTTCTATTAACTTTTTCCAAAGGACCTATGGTGTGCATTTGAGGAATTACTGATTTAATCATCAGGATCTTGGTGGAACAAAATAAAAATACATCCAAATAAAGTCTTCTGTGTTCCACATATATATTTAAAACACCATATTCTGGAGCAAGACTGCCTAGGTCTGAACCAAAGTCCTACCACTTCTGAGCTGTGTGACTTTGAGGAAGTCACTTAATTTTTGTGTACTGCAATTTCCTGTCTGTAAGTGAGAATAATACATGCCCATCTCTAGGGTTGTTGTCAGAATTAAATGAACTACTTTCATGCAAGGCAGGGAGAAGACTGCCCAGCACACAGTCAGTGCTTATAAGGACTTCCTATTAATACTATAATCTTCTCTATTTGATCGCTTCTTGCAAGTTATTTCAAAATTCCCTAAATGCACAATTATAAGTGTATAAGAATATATACCTATATTCAGTTGACATTTTGAAAACTGACATGAAGTAGTTGAATATAGTATTTAAAGGTAGAGTTTCTACTAAGAATGCAAACAGCCACTGGCTCTAACATTCTCAAGACACAGACTAAATCCTTACTCAGAGCTCCAAATATCTGAAATACAAAGAATTCTCAGGCCTTGTGATAATTATGGGATGGAGGGAAGGTAAGAGGAGGAAGAGACACACTCTTCAGAAAAAAAAAAGAAGACCCAATCCGACTAAACCTACTGAATATAGATATTTAAAAAGCAGGATACTGATCACTGAATGGTTGTTTCCTTTACACACAAGGCTGGATCCCTGGGAGCCAAGTCCCCTGGGCTAAGAACCGGACAGGTGTAACAGGGGGATCTTCTGCCATTAGCACTTTCCTGGGATGACTAGATGGGTATCCCGCAGCTGGGTCAACACTCCCCATCTCTAGATAGCACCTCAGAGTCACAAGGGGTAGGGAAAAGCTCTTCTAAGCTCCTCATATACCCTCCCCGCACTCCTCAAGGCATATCCTGTACTCACTGATGACCCGTGACATGCCCTTTCTGCATCCTGGGCTGAGGATCGTGGTTTAGACAACCCTGCTTATCTGGGTTCCACACGAAGTTTTAGTGAGTTGCAGGTGTACCAAAATGCTCATCTCATATGGGCTCCAGGATCCACCACCTCCTGTCTCAAAGGCCATCCAAGGCCTGCCTTCAAATAAGCATAGCAGAACCTCGGAACCCACCTGTTTACCTCCAACGCAGCCCGTGGCCTCAGTGCCTAGAACAAAGTCTGAATGAGGCAGTGGGAGAAAGGGCCATCCAGACTCTGACGGAGAACTTCTGCCTCAAGGCGAGTTTCTGGGGCCCCAGCCGGTAGGTGTCTGACTTAACAAAATGTTTCACAACATACCTGCATCAGATCTTGCTTTTCTTTTTCTCCTGAGCTAATAGCCTTTCTGATCGATTTCAGTTCAGTTAGAATGGCTTTGGCTTCACTAAGTTCATAGCCACTCTGGCCTCCAGACATTTTTTTATCTATTCTGTTAAAAGAAAAAAAAAAAGAAAAGAGAAAAACGTCAAAGAGTGTTGACAGAGTACAAATTAAGCCAACAGTATAGGAACTGGTTTTCGGATTGTTGGAGTTGGCTGATGATTCTGTTACTTGCCTTCTGATACATACCAGTATCATCCTTTCAAGCGGATCGTTCCTCCCGCACTCTTCCAACCACTTCTACCTCACACTCTCCCATCCCCCACCTCATGCCCCGTACCTTCCTCATCATTTTCAGGCTCAGTCATTTTGTCTTCAGTTGGTTTGGGTGACCCCACCATGGGCCGAATTCAAAATCCTCACGCTAAGCCCGACCTCCACCCTGAGAAAGGTTAAGGCTCCGGGGAAAGGATTTAGCAGGACAGAAGTGCCAATAAACTGGACAACTACAGGAAGTTCGGAATTCCTCACCGTTGCCTAATTTTACATACGCCGTAACGTCTGTGCCAAACCAAGCACAGTGCCTGCGGGCTGACGGGCCTTTCTGAAATGCGAGTGATTATTATTTATACTAGTGAGGATCCTACAATATTTGGATCGTGTGTGGTTAGTTTCTTGTTTCTTTTCAAATATATGAAAAGTACTTGTTCTGTTTTTATGACAGGAGTTGACATCAAACTGCTTGCCCTGCTGATGAGTTCAAATTTAGGAATACAGCAGAAGGGTAGATGTATTCATCTGTCAACTAACGTTGAATACAAAGCTCTTCAAGGAGCTCATTTATCGCACCCCCCAGATCTCCTCACCAAATCGTCCTTACAGTTCGCTTGGTCACCCTATGTCAGAGGATTTCAAGTAACCTAACTCTTTGTGCATGAAGGGCCCAACCAAGTTACTGAACTCTTTTAAAAAAAAAAAAAAAAATGGTTTAACATTAGTGTCCTCACTCTCACTCTCCTGATTCTCTCCAATCACCGATGCTGCCCAGGATTCATTCTGAATACAACTTGGGGTTCCCTTGAAGGACATACAGCTATACCTCTGCCCCATCGGCCATCGACTCTCACTCTTGGACAAAGTCTTAGTCTTATCCACAGAGAAATGGCACCTATGAAACCACAGAGAACTGGCTCTGAGCTCATTTGGTTTAAAACATTTAATGATTTATATTTATTTCAATGTGAGGGGTATAATCTGAAAACAAAACCAAAAAAGAACCCACCAACAATGCCATCTTATTCATTCTTCCAAACAAAGTTTACTCAAGCAAGTACAGTTGGCAGATAACATATTTCCCCAAGTACTATTTTAGAAAATATTTTATTGTTGCTGAACAAAGTCTTAACCTAAGAAAATAAAAGGAATTTCATCATAAGGTTATTTGATAATAAAAGTACAACTAACGAAGTCACTGAATTAAGCAGGTGCGAGCACACGCACATAGTGTCTAGGGCGGGAAGGGACCCTAGAGATCACACTTCCTCTAAGTGAAAAAGCAAAACGAGAAGGTTTACGCAACTTTAGCCCCTAACATGTATAAACACTTCGCTAGTAGGGGGACAATCCTCAAAATGACAGATTCAGGATCAGGGCTCTTATGTCTATTACACTTTGAATATTTGATAAAAAGCTCAGGCGGTACTTCGAATATTGGTTAATTCCATTTATTTGGGAAGGGATTTATCACTGAAATTGTTGGCTCCCTTAAGTATTATATCTACCAACCTAGTTGAGGCAAAAGGCTTATTTTAATTAAAAAAAAAAAAATCTGTGAGATTTCATGAAATAGCTATTAACACAGGACTCTCAAACTGTGTCAAAGTGAATTTCTAAAGCCCAAGTGATTTCTTCCTATTTGTGTAAAACCTTCAGAATCTAACAGTTAAATTTTTAAGTCAGAAATCAACCTCAACATTAGAAAACAAAAAAAGTAGGTAAGCTGTTTTCAGAAATCAACTTTAACACTTAAAAATAAAGGCAGGACTACGTCAAGACTGCTCATTTACATTTCAGAGAGCTTTAAAACTAGATAAAAATGTCCTGGCTGCCCACTGCTCAGTTGGGTGCTCAACATGACAAGGACAAGCCAGGTCAGCTCAGCGCCCACCCCCACTCCACCCCCACCGGGGAGCCCTTCTGATCTTTCTCTCCGACTCCCTTCTGCCTTCTCTGAGCACCTCTGTTTTCCTCTACCTATTGCTTTTCCCTTTATCTCCACGTTTCTCCTTTTCTCCTCAACTCTTCATCTCCCACCTTTTCTCTCTTTTTTTGACCCCAACTGACCATAAGATAAAGTCAAACAAAATCAAACAAAATATTCGCATTAATTGCTGATTTTTAAAACAAAGTACTGTGTTTTTTGTTCTTAATTTGAGGAATACAATTTTATATTCTTCCCTAAAAAAGTTTTTTTTAAAGTTTGTTTGGGTTTTTTTTGGGGGGGGTGGGGTGGGGATTCTGAGTACCATATTATTAATTTCCCCTATATCTTGGTCTCTTCCGAAAGAGAAGAGATTCCCATTTGCAAGCCTTCCCTGGAGAATATGTGCCCCTGGAGCCAGATTTTCATAGGCTAGGTATACATTTTTGGCTGGTCGAGTGCTTCACTTCTCATTTTCCACTTTTGAGTGAATGCCGAAGGTGGCAAAGTAGAAATGTCTTCCTGGTGGTATCTGTCTACACATAAGCTATGCTACGGCCTAGGCCAAAGTCAACTCTGGAACCACAGACTGAAATGAATAATGCAGAGAATAAAACTAAATTCATTCATCCAGCATAAACTCGTGTACTCAGTAAAATGAAAGCCTGAGTTCAAATTACATTATAGCTCCAGATTTGGCAAAAATAGTCCATTCTTTTGTGAATAAATGAAAAGCTATAAAAGCCTGCGTGGGATTCTATTTAAATCTTTTCCTGAAATATATTTTCTGTCAAAACCCCAAGGAAAAGTCCCTTTATAGTATCAGGAATGTGGTTTTTTGAAAAGTATGGTCTCTGGGTTCAATCATTATTCAATGTTCTAGTAGTATGGTGGTTAACATTTGAATGAAAACAGCTTTATTTTGTCTAGAGTTAGGATCAACAAGAGAGGTCTCTGATGTTAGATATCATATCTTTCTGCTCTTGGTTCAAGGGATTAGAATCATTGCAAGAGAATGCCTGAATTTCTACAACAAATGTCTATTGTTTTCTTGTGGAATGTTATTGACAGATTCTTAAACATGCCTTGGATTCCTATAAAAATTGCTTGCAAGCAAACTGCTTTAAAACAATACAGCATTGTTATATCAATAAAACAAAAACAGCAAGTTTGGCTAACCTTTAATCCCGGGTGGTGACATGAGCTACAATTTCATGTGCCTTAAAAATGTTTAACGTATAGCTAAACATTTTGTAGGGCTCTTCAAGTTTGTTTTCTCTCTCCACTCCCACCACAAAGCCCTCCTTTATGTTGATATGCAATTACCAAGTATCACATTTATGTCATTCTCGGTCTGCTCAGTTCTTCGGGGCAGCTCTGCAGCCAGCTGAGGTTCTTAGAACACAGCCATCCTAGAGAACTACCTAGGGATCACACAAAATATACCTAGATGGAGACCAAAAACAGGTATTTTTTAAAAAAGCTCCTCAGATGATTCTAGTATGCTCCTAGGACAGGAGCATCTGAAAGAATAAAATGGTGATGATTACTTGAGGTGAGTGGCAAAAAAAAAGATTGAGCCCGAAGACCCATATCTGAAATCAGCCATATGACGGATGGTCAGGAGTCATGACTGGTGTCCTGAGCTGTAACTCATCATGCAAACACACAGAACAACCAGCTTATGTTTTGTCTGGCCAACAAACACACAGGATCTTTAAAAGGGGTAATGCCTTGCTGCCTTGGATTGCTGCAGAGGGAGACAGGGGGATGGGGGGGAAGAACGTGCAGGCCATCAGGGACTCTCTATAAACACTGTACCATGGTTGGCTCAGAGCCCTGCACACAGAGGAGGGAAGTTAAAAAAAAAAAAAAAAAAAAAAAAAAAAACCAGTTGAATGCCTTTTGAGGGATAATGCCTTCAATCCTCTCTTTGTGGTCATGTGGCTGTGAAAACCATCAGCTTCTTGCCTCACACCAGAGACCGTGTGGTAGGGATCGTGAGGGTTGGAAAGCCCAGTGTGCCTGTCAGGGTTTAGCTCGGCAGTACCTCGTCAGCCGGGAGAACGGTGGCTTCCGGGGACTGGGAACGGGGCAGGAGATTCCAGAATCCGCTACCCTCTGCCGTCTACATCTCCCTTGGCCTGGCCCAGTCTAGAGTCAGGCCAGTGGCCCATCAGACTTGACTATAAAATGGAAAGGACAGAAGAAAGGCAGGAAATGAGGAACCCACTCAAGCTTCTCTGCTGACCACCTGACTTGCTCCCTGAGCTCAGCCCCAGTTAGGTGGGACCTGGGGCTGACAAAGGGGCAGAGAGACGTCTCCAACCCAGGGCTCCAGGCAGGAGAGGCTCACGTTGTCCAGACGTGAGAGCCGCACGTGGAGGCGCTCTTGCGACCATTCCCTTTAGCACGAACCTCAATCGTAAGAGCAGGCTGGCAGGTGCCCAGACAAAGTGAAGTTTCTCACTGGTTTCTCTGACTCGCCAATGATTCATAAAGCTTTAGACCTTTTCAAAGTAGACAGATTTTCCCAAGTTTTTTGTTTGTTGGTTGATTGTTTGGTTTTTGGTGCAGAGCTCTGAGCCATTTTTACTTTATGTTTCTCTCAGAAATCTCTTAGGCAATCTGTACTTCTATTTTCTTTGTATGAGTTAGGGGGCTTTGAATTATTCCCAATTTCAGTATTTTTATACTCACTGTTGCAACGTTTCAAAGCCTTGTTCTTTATACAGCAATTCTTGCTTCATCTGTGAGAGTTCTCGCTTCAGCTTTTTAACCTTTTGTGAGAAACCAATGTAAATAAGAATGTTTGTAAATAATTAGCAACACTGTTTTAAGAGATCGTCCATCAGTAAACTATTAAACACACAGACATAACCATTAGTTTAACATTTACTCTGCTGGCTTCCCCCTGACATAAATTCTGTGGAAGGCAGGTTAATTATGTTTAAATTATCAGTGACGTTCATTATCCCCTATATTTACCCTCATCATCATATTTAGCAACATTCCTGCAAGCTGGTGTCCTGACTATCTCCATTTTGTGACAAATAGCCAGGAAGGGGGGAGTCAGACCTTGAAATCCCGGTTTCTGTTTCTGTTCTGCGCGTGCTCCTCCCTCCCTCCTTTGCTGCGCTCCAGGACCGCCAGCCACCTCTCTGTTTCACGAATGTATCGGGCAATACCCGCTCTGCTTCTGCAGCATGCTGTTCCCCCTGGCTGGAAGGCTTTCCCTCAGATCTTCCAGAGCGGACTCCTGTCACTCAGGTCTCAGCTTACATGCCACCTTTTGGAATAGGACTTCTCTAACCATCCCATTCTATCATAATGACAAGTGAAGTATGCCATTATGTTTTACTTAGTGCATGGTACTTCTCAAGAGCTGAAATATTCTGTGTATTTGTTTACTGTCTGTCCCCCATGGGAAAGTAAGCTGTACCACACCAGCTGCGTCCCAAACTTCTAGAAGACTACCGGGCACTATGAGGAATAAAAATGACAAGGACAAGCACTGGGTGATCAATAAACATCCGGTGTCAATCTGATTAAAAAATATGTTTTTTTTCCTGTTGCCAAATACAGTCTTGGTGATGACAATGCTAAAATGTGATAGGTCAAAAAACCAGCAGAAGTCTGGTTTAGTCACAAACTAAAGGTCTTCACATGGGTGTCAGAAATTTACTTCCGTATTATAGCCTTAAGTTTGAAGCGCATTCTGTTAGACAGTATTTCAATGTGCTTTTGAACTTTTATTTCCTATTTAGTCTATCCATTCCACAAATATTTACTGACTTTCCACTATGTGTCTGTCAGGTCCTGGGTCTCAAGTGTGAATAAAGTAGACAAGATCTTTGCCCTCACGGGTCCTCCAGAACAATGGGGGAGCCAGATGTTGAGCAAATAATCATCCAGTGAAATAAATCTTACCAATTACCATGGGGAATGTAAAGGAAAGGTTCGGGATACTTCAGGATGAAAAAGGGGGACAGGACCTGATTTAGTGTGAGAAGCTGGATAAAGCCTGTCTATGGAAATGATGTTTAAGCAGAGCTGGTCAGTGGGGCTTCATCTGGTAAAGGGGGTCCTCAAAAGGCAGAGCTTGTGCACAAACCCTAAACCATGAGAGGAGGAAACTCATCAAATCTCTGGGATTTAGGGTGCCTGGTTGGTTAAGCATCTGCCTTCGTCTCAGGTCATGATCTCAGGGTCCTGGGATCAAGCCCCGCCTTGGGCTCCCTGCTCAGTAGGGAGTCTGCTTCTCCCTCTGCCTCTGCCACCCACTCGTGCGCACCCTCTCTCTCTCTTTAATAAATAAAGCCTTTAAAAAAAATCTCTGGGAGTTAGAGTACGCTACCATTCGCTGGATTACAGAGGTGGCGTGCATAATGAGATCCAACTGGAAGAGAAGGCCTTATATAGAGTTTTGAAGCCACATGGAAGATTTCTAAATCTTATCTTAACAAGGAGAACTGGGGAGGAATTTTAAAGCATGATCTGCTTTATGATTTTTAAAAACCACTGTCATGACTCTGGTGATTGGACCAGAGGGGCCAAAAGGGGCCATTCCACCTGCACCGTGGGTTGGCCTGGGGGCAGTGTATAGAGAGTAGAGCCCAGAGGAAGAACATATTTGGGAGGCAGAATCAACAGGACTTGGTGATGGGCTCAAGGCGCAGGGTGAGGGACAAGATGTGTCAAAGATCACTGCCAGGATTTTGGCTTGCCAGGTGGGGGCACGAAGGTGCCTCCCTGGAGGGTGGGACCAGATTTGGGGGTAAGATCAAGGGTGTTCTTTGAGATATTTAATTTTCTGATACTCAGGAAACTTCAAAGGCCATTGGAATCTGGAGGCTCGATGTTCAAGTGTCTGGACCAGAGATATAAAACTGAGAGTCACTGACATCAAGATAGTACTTTAAATGCATGAGAATAAATGAGATCACCTAGAGAGAGTGTGTACTGAAAACAGAAGAGAGTCCAGGAACACACCTAAGGCACCTTCATCATTCAGAAATCTACTAGAGGAAGGGACAAAACATGCTGCAAAGTAGCAGCAAGAGAAGTCGGAGGGAAAACAGCATCTTGGAAAATGAGAGAAAAAAATCAAGAGGGAGAGTAGGCACTACGTAGAATAAAGTGACAAGGACAAGAGCCGTGTGATACTCATGTTTGCACACCTAAAGCACAACACTTTGGGAAGTATGGATATTCAATCATTTATCTGTTGATAAATTATCTGTTGAGTTTATCTGAAGTATAAGCGATGCTACTGGAATCCAAAGGCGGACAGGAGCACTTCGCCTGGCCTCACGGAGAAGAAGCCATCTGACCTGGACTGTGGAAGTGCTTTCATATTCACGAAGAGAGTGAGCTCGTTCGCGGTGGATCATAAAGACATTTCAGTTGTAGCATTCGATTATTATCAGGTCAAAAGAGCCATCAGTAATTAATAGCTCATTCCACTCGTACTTCTACTTTTGACAGCACCTCTAAAGAGCTGTTTACCAAAGACTGTAACATTTTTATTTCAGAACAACAACCACAGTTAATCCAAAAATCAATAGTAACTGGCCTGAAGCCTGTCTTTACCTCTGAAAACACAGTGGATAGAAACAATGGCGATATTGAATTCACTCAGAACCACCAAATTAAAACAATGAGCATATCTCACTGACATAAAATAGCATTCTACATAAAAATCATTTGGACACACCAGTTTAAATTTTTTTCAAAAATTATCATTTAAAATCTAACATTAACTTTGGAACTTTCACACTCTTGTCTGTTTAAGTGATGGGAGTGAGATTTTATTGTCCATTGAGTGACAAAGATGGAGGAAGCTAACCTGTGCTTGCTTTCATTCCACATTATTTATTTTACCTAACGCCTGCTATAAGTACTGTTTCCATCTTGGGGAGTCTTCGTAGTGGACTACCTGAATGATCTTTAGCTCCAAGTATCAATGTTGCATTTTATGTGGTTAACTATGAAAAAGTCTGATTTCTATCATAATGACAAGTGAAAACAGGTATTATTTCCAATCAAACATCATTTCCAATTGTATTCGGTTTCAAGAATATGGTCTGAACTAGTTCAACAACCCTTCTTCTCGGAGAACCATGTGACATCATTAACTATTAGAGGATCACTGTTTCTCCTCTTCCATTCTCCAACCCACCCTCAAATGTAGGACACAGAAAATAAAAATCAATGTCCTTAGATCACAGCTAAAGGATTATGCTAATGCTGACTTGCAAATTTGCACAATACAGACCCTACCAGGAAGCAATAATGACAGCTAAAATTCACGAGGACTTTATGTATTCCCAGCATTGTGCTAAATATAAATGCCTATTTTCAATCCTCACAGCTATTCTCTATAGATAGTTTTAATTCTTATTTTATAGGTGAGGAATCTCAAACCAAAAAAGAATAAGTAAGTAATGTGCTGAAGCTTACACTGCTACCAACCAGTGGCGAACAATCCAGAGCCCAGGAGAAGGTTTTTAAAACTATAATCATAGATGTTTTAGTTATTAATGGCATGATAGTACAAACATGTAAGATCAAAGACAAACCAGAATTTTGGAAAATGACCCAAATAAAATCTATGGCCCTTATTTTACCTTAGAAACTTCATTATTCTTATAGCCCACCCAAACTGAACACATGAAGAGCCCCACAAGCCCTGGAGTCTATGCTTTCTGTCTCTTACATACTCAACTTTCTGCCATAGCCAACCATCTAATTTTATAGACTTACTTCTAAGAAATCAAATCTCACAACCCAGAGTATCAAACTGGAAGCAAGAGACCCATGGCTTTTGCACGTTTCCCACTTTCTATACTGAGTACACCAAAGCAAGAGACATTTTAAATTGATTTTAAAGTTATTTCTGAAAACCAGGAAGATGCTGTGATTAAATGTGATGAGTATGACTGGAAATCATGGAGCTTCTTCCGATTTCCGACAATCCTAGTGTAATAAGTTTTATTTTAAAAGAAGGAGAAAGAAGATGACAATAAGAGAAAAGTAAATTCCAGAAATCTGTGGACCTTGGAAGGATCACAAGACAGGCAGGTTTCAGAAGTTTGCCCTAAAAGTGAACCCTGCAACATTAAAGCTATAATGAGCAAAATGGCATTTTACTAATGACTACCTTCCCCTTTCACCACTTTCTCTACCATCTTGCCGAGAGCTCCTTAGGCAAGCCAACAAAGGGCAACTGTCAGCTTGCTCCTTCTAGGGATCTTTCTCTTCACCACCACTTCCAATTCCCTGAAAATCCTTCACCATCCTGCCTCACCTCAAAAGTCACCTTTAAAGAAAATGAGAAATCAGCTCCAGGTAGAGAAGGGATCAATAATAAAACATTTTTTGACTTTACTAAAGAATAGAGGAAAACAGAACCCCGCATGCTGTTGGAACCATTTGTGATTAATAATAAATGGATTCTGTCATCAGAAACAAGATGATTAAATACAATGTATATATATTTTTAAAAAACTCAAACTTTAACAACAGTAAGAAGAAAATAAAGCAAAAGCCACTGGAAAAAACTGTAAGAAATATTTGTGAAATATACTACACCTGGAGATATACATAATAAATAAAAATACAGAGGGTCCAATGTTAGATCCCCACAAGTAATTAAAATAAGCCAATAAGTTGCCATACGACCCAACAATTCCACCTACCCAAGAAAAATGAAAACATATGTCCACATAAACACTTGTGCAGGAATGTTCATATTATTCATAGTGGCCCAAAAGTGGAA